AGGGCAGAACTGGGGACAGCGAGAAGACCCGTGGCTGCCAGGGGCTGAGTAGTGGGGAGGGATGAGCGGGCGGAACACAGAGGAGTTTCAGGGCAGTGACATCACTCTCTGTGATGGCTGTCATTAAACGGGAGTTGGGCCCCACAGGACAGTGCAGCACCAAGGGCGACCCTAATGTAAACTCTGGACTTGGGTGATAATGATGTGTCAGTGTAGGTTCACCCACTGGAACAAATGTGCCGCTCTGCCGCCGTGTTGAGAGCGGGGCAGGCTGTTGAAGGAGCAGGGGACGTATTGGAAATCTCTGTGTGTTATGTTCAATTTTGCTGTGAACCTAAAACTGTCCTAAAAATAAAGCTTTATATTAAAAAAGGAATGGTCACTAGTTGTTTTTTACATTAATGCCTATATCGAGACTCCAGTACTGTTTAGTAAGATGAGTACATTAAACTTACGCATCTATTCATAAAAAATCATGACAGAGGATGTGAATGTTATAATTAATAAAATAATTAACTTGTGTACCAAACTTTATACCTTACAAATAATAAGTAGGCCTTTTTAAAAATAAGCATTTTACTTTCTGTTAGATTTACAGAAAAATTCCAAAGGCAGTACGGAGTTCACATATACCCCACGCCATTTCCCCTAATTGTAACATCTTGGATTAGTACAGGATTTTGTTACAATCAACAAACCAATACAGATACATTATCATGAACTGAAGTTCATACTTTATTCAGATTTTCTAAGACTTTCCCTAGTATCCTTTCTGTGCCCCAGAACCTCCCATGACACATTAACGTCATGTCTCCTTTGGCTCCTCTCCGCTGAGACAATCTCTCAGGCTTTGTTTTTGATGACCTTGACACCCAGGAGGAGGACTGGTCAGGACTTTTTACAGAATCCCTGGCAGCCTGAGGCGTTCCTCACTCTTGGACGGCGTGATGGGTTTGGGAAGGAAGACGCTGCAGGTGAAGGGCCCTCCTCATCACATCACACCTTATCGGGAGCACATGCTGTCGACATGCCTCATCACGGGCGACGTGAGGCTCTTCCTCAAGTTTTCAAGGAGCAGTAACAAAAAATGATAACACACATAGGCCAAGAAAGAAACTTCTAGCACAAAAAGAAACTGCCCGCGTCCCAGGTTCTTCATGGCACAAGTGCGACCAACAAAGCTCGCAAGCCCCGACCATCAGAAGGGCGCAGCCCTCCTACACTCCTGTTCTTGTCGGACCCTGTCCCCTTGAGACTAGGCAGCACCCCGTCAGCGAGTCCATTTTAACTAACAAAATATGACAGTTGTGATGGGTTGTCACATCCTGTCACATCCAAGACTAGGTTACAGAAGACTGATTCTATCTTGCTCGCCCCCTCTTGCACCCTTGACGGAAGCCAGCTGCTCTGGTGAAGGCTGCTGTGTGCCCACGGGGCAAAGAATTGAGGAGGGCCACGGTGGGCGGTGAGAAAGCGAAGCCCTTCCTCAAACAGCTGGCAAGGAACCGGACCCTACCAGGAGCCACGTGACTGACCTTGGAGCAGGGCTTGCCCCCCCGCCCCCCCCCCCACCGTGGGCCTTAGGAAGACTACAGCCCCACCCGACACCTGGACTGCGAACTTGTCAGGCACCCTGAACCAGATGACCAGCTGCATGGCACCCAGATTCCTGACACACAGGAAGTATGAGAACACACATACTCCTTTTAATTACATTTTCTGGATGCTTCTTATTAAAATGTCCCAAAGCCCTGACTGGTGTGGCTCAGTGGGTTGGGTGTCCTCCCGCAAACCAAAAGATCGCCAGTTTGATTCCCAGCCAGGGCACATGCCTGGGTTGGGGGCCAGGTCCCCAGTTGGGGGCACAGGGGAGGCAACTGATAGATGTTTCCCTTGCATGTCGATGTTTCTTTTCTTTCTCCCTCCCTTCCCCTCTCTAAAGGTAAATAAATAAAATCTTAAAAAAGTGCCCCACCGAGATCCCTTGCCTCTTCAACTATGTGAGGTTTACTGAGATATAATTTATGTACAAAACCTGCATTTAGTACATATGTATGCATATTTAATATATTCAATGTATAATTTTAATGTATACAATTTGATGAGTTTGGACATATGCCATAATCAAGGTAATAAACATACCTATCACCTCTGAAGTTTCCTCCTATCCCTTTGTTTCTTGGGGTTTGGGGAGGGGTTGGGGAGGAGGGTAAAGAACACCTAGCACAAGATCTACCCTCTTAACAAAATTTTAAGTGTACAATACAGTGTTGTTAACTACAGGCACAATGTTGCACAACAGAGTTCTAGAACTGATTCATCTTGCATGTCTGAAACTTTGTATCTGTAGAATATCACTCATGGAACATTTCTGGCAAAATTTGAAATTAATCATGCTGTACAAATCAGTCAGCTTCAGAATGTGGGACATTTTTACAAGACAACAGGATTTCAAAATCAGTCATGCAATACTCCCCATCCTCTGAACAAAATTGAGATTTTTCTAGATTAAAGGAAACTGAAAGAGATGTGTCAACCAAATGTATGTAAGTGAAATTTGAACTCTAGACTTAGGTTTACAAAGCTGCAAAGAGAAAGTTGGGGAAAGGATAATACAGAGTTTTATCTGATTGAGTTTGAATTATTTACTCCAGGATAATAACTGTCTTGGGATGGGGCTGGCATTGTGTCTTGCAGAGGATGTCTTAGGTGATACGCGCTTAAATATTGAAGGGGAAGCATTGTGATGTCTGCATCTCTTCCAAATGGTTTCGCAAACAAACAAACGCTTTTTGTATAGGTATTCCTCGGTTTACAGTAGGTTTATGTCCTGATAAATCCATCATAAATTAAAAATGTTTTAAGCTGAAGCTGCGTTTAACACACCTAACCTGCCTAACCTCACAGCTCAGCCCAGCCCACCGTGGCCGTGCTCGACACACCTCCCGCTGGGCAAGACCCTCTTGCTGCTGCCACCTACCTGGCTGCGTGTCTCTAGCCCACGACAAGAGCCAAATTTAAAGTCTGAAATACACGTATCGCATTTGCACCATTGTAAAGTCAAAAAATCCTAAGTTGAACCATCAAAATTGGAAATTGTGTATATTTGTATAAATATGTTTGTGTATATATATAGATATATAATAGAGAGTGCTAAAAACAAGTGTGGCTAGGTGAAGGGTCTATGAATGTTTATTATACTATTCTTAGAACTTTGTAGCTTTGAAATCTTTCAAAATAAAGAGGTGGGAAAAACGAACCGCTCTCACTCCTCCACATGTTTCTCAAGCTGTTACCACCATTTCACATGCTACTAACAGCAAAGGTCCCTTGAAGGAGTCTCTGCACACTCCATGTGCTGATTAAATGTTTAATAATTGGCCCTCAAAGCAAACCCAAAAGCTCGGTCAGTTTCTTCGGTGTAAACGCTCCCGCCATGGCCGACTTCACAGTGCTAACGCGGCAGCCCTGGACACAGCTGGTCAGCAGTGCGCGCAGCAGCGCACTTCGCCCTAGTGTTTCCAGCTACAGATGTGATACATGTAAATGACCTCAGCGGTGTATCTAGTGACATGCAGAAAAATAATTAGGAAGCATTGATTTTGAGGATTTATTATCTTTGTCTTAATATAATTTATTTGAGCGTAAGTTTATACAATCCATTTTTAAATAATGGCTGTGTTTAGCAACTGCCTCCGAAATTTATAAAAAATTGACAGCTGTCTCTCACCAGCCAGTACACGCTGGCCCCAGCACATCCCTGTAAAAAATAAAATCTCAACCCACTGAAACCCGGCTTCCACAGCACCTTTCAACCGAAACCCTCCCGCTCGCCCCACCAAGGACCTCCATAGCGAAAAAGTCAAAGGATGTCTGATGCAGCTCTGGCCTGGCCTGCCCTCCCCGAGTTCTCTGCAGCACTCGGCACTACTTAACCGCACTGCCTTCTCCCCGGCCTCCGGGTTCCCTCCCGGTCTGTCGACCAGCCCCGCCCTGTCTCCTTTAAGGGCTCTTCTTCCTCCGTCTTATCTCTGACCCTTTGGTATGCCAGTTTGACACGTTCTCCCTGGGTGTCCTTGTCCAGCTCCATGGTCCCAACCACGACTCAAGCCCAGACCTTCTCAGCTAGTTCGCTCCTCCTGGAGTGAAGACATCCCAAAGGCAGGGTGGAGCCCGCATCTCTTGCTCTCACCACGAGGTGGCGCTCCGGAGGGACAGCGAACGCAGAGGACCTACCTTCAAGTGCCAATAGACCTCGACACAATGTAACAATGCAAAAAGCCTCAGCAGGGCAAACGCAGCATACCTGAACTCCCCCAAGAAGCAGCTGGGTGCTGACAGGACAGAGGCCTAAGCTGCTTTAGGGCAAGGCGCGTCGCTTCACACTGAACCGAGGGAGGGAGGGGTCCCACACCAGCTTGGTCTCAGCTTCCCCTTCCTGTTTGGACTAAAACCATCAGCTTTCCCAAAGTGCTGTGTACAAAACTGAGCTCACTCGTCCTTGCTCTTGGAGCAACTTAATTACTCGTCTGGCAGTCACTGTCAGTCAACCAGTCCTTGGAGTCGATCGCTGTCGGGCTGGTTCACTGGCCGGTCGGCCAGTCGGTCACAATCCGACCAAATCCGTTCTTGCGGTGGGTTGCCCCTGTCTTCCGGTCCTTCCGGTCCTTCCGGTCCTTCCGGCCCCGGGAAAGCAGCGTACTTTACGGGGAAATCACCGCTAGGAGGGAATCCGAGCCCTCAGGCTCCGCCCCTTCGTAGTCTTATCCAACCATAGGTCTCTGCCTCACAGGAGTTCCCGCCCTCCGGACCACTCCCAGTTACAGGCCTCGCTCTTCCCAAATCCTGTCCTATCAGACGCCTGGCTCTCCAGGAATTCTTCGTCCGGAGCTAGACGCAATCTGAGAGCTGTTCTCCCCTCAACTCCGCCCCTAGGGCCTCCCGTTTTCCTCTGGCCTCCGGCGTTCTAGGCGGACGCGACGGATGACGCCATCAAGCCGCGCGGGAGGAAGGTCACAAGGCATCCTTCAATATGGCGGCGGCTGCGCTGCGGAGAGGCTGGTGCTGCTGCCCGCGGGTGAGCGGATCCGTGGAGGCGGTGGATGGGGAGGGAGGCCGGCCTCGGGGAGCTCTCGGCCCACGACCTCTAGGCCCTCCTTCTCCTCAGGCCTTTGGCCCCCTCGGCCCTCACCTCGTCTCGGCGAGAGGCTTGGTGTGATCTCGTTTAGTTTGCTGAGGCCGGGTCAGGGGGCTCGGAGCGAGGCCTGAATGCGGGCGCCGGGCGTGCCGGGCGGGGGCGGCGTGGCGCACGGCCGGGCAGGAGCGGGCCGCTGCCCCTCGTCCCCTGGCCAGACCCCACGGGGTTGACGCCCAGTGGAAAGAAGGTAGCGGGGAAAAGGCAAAAACCATGACAGTTATGGCTCACGTTTATATGCCAGGTTCTCTACCGAGAGCATTTCTTGCATTGCCTCCTATGCGCCCGTGTAACGCTTGCGCTGACCAAGAACTGCCTCAGATTTGCGACTGGTGTTAGGCATGTGAAATTCACTTATAAATAGTACTTTATGTTGCTCTTGCTTATCAGCCTGGTTAAGCAGCCTGCCCACCGTCTCGGAGCTAGTGGGGTGGCCGACCCCCGGCCAACGCCGAGGTCATTGTGACTCCAGAGGACGTCTGAAGGAAGGGCAATAACTCGTTGGCGTCCGAGTGCCCGGAGAAAGAAGTTGTCTTTGATCCTGGGCTGGTTTTATTCTTGGCTGTTGCCTTGAGTCAGCCTTTAGATGATGAATTTGCGTGTGTTTAGGGGAACCAGCCTCAGGTTTAGTGTGTTGTGGGATTTCTCTGCCAAGTCGGACAGCCGTGATCTTCCGTTTCAGACCGCCGGCGTCCGCGGCTCCAGGATCGATGGGGGTAGGCGTTCAGAGGAGTAAAACAAGTTACGCTCTGGAGCGTTACCTCTAGAGCCGCTGTAGGAGGTGGTGGCATCTGTTTTAAGTTCGGGATGTTGCCTAGGGTGTGGGACAGGGAGAGGAAAGGCCGAGGGAATGTGGAGATGAAAGGTTGGTTCTGTCAGAACGTTGGCCATTGATGTGCTGGCTCCGAGCTGGGAGCTGGGATGCAGCATCGAACAGGACCAGCACAGGGCCTTCTCTCACGGAGCTTAATTACTTAGTAAGAGACGACTGTCTTTCCCATGAGATTAGCAGCATCTTTGCCCAAGTTGCCCTGCTGGTAGCCTGACCCTGGACCAGGACATGGTAGGTTTATTCTAGGGTTGTGCCTGGTACAATAAGTTGTCGGTGTTTACCTCTTAATGCCCAGGTCTCTGGTCTTACAAGGCCAGCAGAAGTGGGGTGGGCTTGTGAGAAAAGACTGCCTGCCACCAGTATCGAGGCTTAGCCTGCCCATTTTCAGAGTAAGCGATTCAGTTGGGGATTTAGCCTTGTTGCACCGTAGGTTGCATTTCCTGGGACCCATCTGTTTCTCCCGAGTTCAGAGGCAGGAGGGTAGATATGGGCCTGGAGGTGGAGATCTGGCGTTTTCTTTTCCCACCAGATTCTACTGGCTTTCTCAGAATTTGGGAAGATTATAGAGCATTCAGCAAGCCATAGGCATGTGGTAAAAATTGGCAAGTGGGCCTCAGGTGATTCCTGTTTTATAGTGTGGCCTAGCTACCTCCTAGTCACCCTCTTACCTGAATGGTCTTTCTCGTTTCTCCCCCAATTAGAGATGCCTTGGCAGCGGAGTCCAGTTTTTGTCCAGCCACAACCTAGTGCCACTACCCCGTGGTACCTATCAGATACGCCGGCCAGATGGAGAGCTGCCCTTGGTGAGTAACTCAGAACACGAGCAGTCGGACAGAAGGGGGAGGCCTGAGAAATCAGAACCAGCTGACAGGAGAGAGGGCCCCAGTTGTTACCCGTACTGCCCCAAGCATCCAGGGGGCAGGCGTTCCATGTCCAAGGCCTTTGGCGTTGCGGAGCCTGGTGTGCCCGGCCCTCTGTGGACCCCCAGAGGTGCTTGACGCGGTGGGGGCGGGAACTCTGCCTCACAGAGTGAGGGCCGGAAGCGGTGCCTCACGTCGAAAGGCATCCCCTGTCTTCCACCAGTGGGTCCTTCACGGAGCAAGGCTGTTCCCTTTTCTAGCTGACCACCCTGTAAGCGTTCGAGCAGAGCGACCCAGCACAGCGTAGCGCTCAGCTTCCCCAGGCTGCGTCTTCCTAGCCTTTACATTGATCCCGACAGGTAGCATCTTCTGGAGCTTGGGCCCTCTCCGTCACTCCTCTTTAACCATGCTGCCGTCGGTGCCTCACTGCCGCGGGGGAAAGCCCAGCGCCTAACACCCGTCCCCAGTCTGCAGTGGGTGGCCCATGCTTCCTTTCCAGCCTCGTCTCAGCTGGTCCGTGCAGGCAGCTAGGACCTGCGCCTGCCGCCTCGCTCGGGCTTCCCCTTCCTGATCCTCTCCAGGGGCTGTTACAGGTGTGGGGCAGGCTCTGTGGCCCATCCCCCTAATTATCCCGTCCCACTCACCCACTCACAGTGTGCAGCCCCTGACTGAGTGGCAGGGCTGCTGCAAGGTGGCATGGTCCCTAATAGCCTTGGAGCCTGGAGTCCCTTGGAGAGAGAGCCTGGCCAGCGTGCACCTGGACAAGAGGGCAGTCTGCTCCCTGGGGCTTGACGTGTGGGGAGGCTGTGGCCCTTGAAACCAGTAAAGGGGGCCCCCATCCCTGGCGGCGTGCCCAGCGCATTGTGGGGAGTGGTGGGAGCAGCTGAACGCACACAACTGCTTCACTGTGGCTCGACTCTCTCACGGTCACTCTTGACGCACTCTCTCGCTCTTAGTTATGTAGGTGCCAAAGCAGGGATCTAAACCTGGCTTTATCTGACCCTGAAGGCTGTGTCCTCTTTTTCTTTTTTTAATTGATTTTAGAGAGAGGAAGCAGGGGAGAGAGAGAGAGAGAGAAAGAAATACTGGTTTGTTGTTCAACTTAATTGTGATGAGCACTGACTGGGGAATGGAATCTGCACCCCTGCAGCCTTGGCGTGTCGGGACGACACTCTGACTGAGCTGCCCGGCTGAAGCCTGTGTCTTGAGCAGTGAGCAGCGCTGCTGCTTGTGCCTGGAGCAGGGCCTTTCCTGGCCTCCCTGGCATCTGGCTTCTGGGTGTGTTGGGTTTTCTGGTGGGGGGAACACTGGGCTTGAGCTGTAAGTGATTGTGGCCCTGTGGGCTGAGAGAGGGAGGTTTGGTCCAGTCCCCAGGCCCTCGGGTGACAAATAAGTACCAACTGGGGACTTGGTGGTCGCTACCAAAGAAGTTACCTACCCTAAAAGCCTGGGGAGCAGGACCCTTTCTTTGGGTCCCCACACACCGCTGTGCCAGCTTCTTTGGGATTAGGGGCCACAGAGTCCTTTCGACTCCAGTCCCATGGCAAGGGCCCCTTTGGTGTTGACCTTGGCCTTGAGTGAGCATGTTTGAATCCTCATCAGGATTCTTAGCCCCACCTGCTTCTTGTCGCCTGTTTCCTCTGTTGGAGAAGGAGCCTGGCATTTTGTTTTGTTTTTAATAGACTTTTTTTTTTTTGTAACAGTTTTGAATTTACAGAAATATTGAACAGGAAGTACAAAGTTGCCATATACCTTCTCTTGCCCTCTGCACACAGTTTCTGTTTTGTTCACATCTTGCATTAGGGTAGGACATTTGTTACAACTGATACGGATACATTATTATTAACTGAAGTCCATAGGTTGCATTGGGCTCACTCTGTGTTGTATATTCTGTGAGTTTTGATGAATGTACTGATGTGCATGCACCACAGAATAGTTCCACTGGCCTAACCATCCTGTGCTCTTGCTTGTTCATCCCAAACCCCAGCACCTGGCGACCACTGGCCCTTCTTCTGTCTCCATAGTTTTGCCTTTTTCAGAATTTCGTAGAGTTGGGATCAGACTGGCCTCTTTCACTTAGTGGCGCACTTTTAAGGCTCCTCCATGTTTTATCGTGGGTTGATAGCTCACTTCTTTTTATTGTTGAATAATATACTTTGTTGTCTGGGTGTCTTACTGTTAATCACCTGTTGTTTTTTAAATTTGTCTTTGTTGTTAAACCTGGAGAAACAGGAGAAAATTAAAAAGTCTTTGTTCTTTTTACATATTTCCAGTCCAAATCCTATTCTTCTGGAAACAGAAAAGGCTTTCTCTCAGGCCTGCTAGATAATATCAAACAAGAATTAGCCAAAAACAAAGAAATGAAAGAAAGTATAAAAAAATTCCGCGACGAGGCCCGGAAGCTGGAAGAGTCTGATGCGCTCCAGGAAGCCAGAAGGAAATACGTGAGTCCCTTTGCTCCGAGTCTCCCTCGCCGGCACACTGGCTTTCAGAGCCGGGACCTCACTGGTCCCAGACAGTGCGAGGCTCAGTGCTGGTGCGATGGGGGAGCAGCAGCTTGTGAGGAGGCGAGGCTGCTCCCTGATGCCAGGGCCCAGCGTGCCACTCGGGCCATGAGACGCGGCGGCACGCCCTCTGCCCCAGCAGCCCAGGCCTCTGGGAGCCTGTGAGAAGCGCAGGGCCTCAGAGCCCGCTTTTCCCACTGAGTCAGAACCCAAGTCCGCACAGGCCCCTGTGACCCCCGAGCACTGGGCCCGAGGTGAGCTGCTCCTGAGAGCCGCCCCGTCGTGGTCTTGTGGGTGAAACGGATGCTGGTGTGACTCCTGACTGCCCCCGCCGCCTCCTGCCCCGGGGCTGCCGGGCGTGCACCGCTGCGAGTGGGGGCGCGCGCACTGCCCAGCCCCTTGGTTTCTGTTCCCTGGGCTCCCCGCCCAAGCCGTGCACGAGCCCCGTTCCCTCGTGTGTCCCCAGGCCTCTTGCATGGCTGTGGCTGCCTGTGAGGGGTTTCCATCCAAGGGCACATGAGCCTTTGTTTTCATTAAGGAGAGGGTGGGCTGTGGGGTCCTTTGGGGACAGCAGGCTGAGGTTGGGTGGGGTGGCTGGGGTGTGAGAGACGCCGTAGCGGCTGGTGACGGGGGTGGGGTGGGGCAGAGTGGGGCGGGAGAATGCTGATGAGCTGACAGGCCAACCAGAGAGATGCAGGGCCAGGGATGCCTGTGCATAGGAGGGTCCTGGTTGTCCTTTGCCTGCTGAGACCCGCAGACCAGGCAGCGGGGCCCTTGGGGTGGGGAAGAAGGAGGCGGGGTGGGGGGGCGTTTGAGGAGGAAGGAGCTGCTCAGAAAATGCTCCTTTGGGCCTTTGGCTGTCCGGTAATTACTGTGTGGTAAGAAAAGGAACCGACATCCTTTGTTGTAGAAAACTATTGAATCTGAAACCGTGCGGACGAGTGAAGCGATCAAGAAGAAGTTAGGGGCTATCACCGGCACCGTGAAGGAGGTAATGGCCGCTGGGTCCCTCCAGCTTTCTGGCCACAGCTCCCAGGGCCCATCTGTGCCTCGCCTCTGAAGAGGACAGCCGGGCTGGGTGGCTGCCCCGGGGAGAGCCGGCCAGGCCCGGAGGCTTCCAGAGTTCAAACACACGGCACCCCGCAGGCAAAGGGCTGGTCAGACTCAACCGGCCTGCAGGGCAGCTTACGGCTGAAGTCAGTCTGAAGTCGGGTGTGCACTGGCCACTGGCCAGGCCGCTAGGATAAGGGCGTTTTCCTGCTTGCCTACAAATAGAAGGGGTGGGGACGGTCGCCCCCAGGAGAGGGCAGCTATGGGAGTCATGACCCCTGGGTGGTGTGAGGGCTCTTGTGGCCTCGTTCTTGTGGGCCAGAGAAGAGAGGCAGGTCTTTGCAGAGCTGGGCCCGAGCCCGGGCCCAATCCTGGGCCCACCTCACTTTCTTACCGCCCCCTCCCAGGCTGCTGCCCCTGCGGCATCCTGTGAAGCCTCCAGGCTCCTTCCCGTTCTGGGAAAGGCCAGTTGACCAGGGTCCAGCTCTGCAGAAATTGTCCTTGGGGCGTCAGGAGCCAGATGAATTCAGAGTGCACCCTTTGGAGGCGGACGGCAGGCCTTAGTTCCTGGGGGGCTCCTTTGGGTCCCTGAGGGAGCCTGCGCTGGCACCCTCGCCCTTTTCTGTCTCAGTAGAGTCTTGACGAAGTCAGTAAAAGCGACCTTGGCCGGAAAATCAAGGAGGGTGTGGAGGAAGCAGCCAAGACCGCCAAGCAGTCTGCCGAGTCTGTGTCGAAGGGCGGGGCCTTCAGAGCCCTCTCCCAGGTGAGTTAGGTGCTGGGCCTGTGGCCGCGGGCACTCTGGGCTCTGGCCCTCTCTAAAGCTGAGAGCGGAGTTCCCGCCTCGGAGCTCGACCCCAGAGGGCGCTGGCTGCACAGGGGGTGGGGGTGGAGTGCAGTGGGGCTGTGAGGAGGGCCCGCTTGAAGGGCCAGGTCCTGCTCCCCTCCTGACTGGGTGACCCTGGGCAAATCACAGCCCTTAGGGAGCTGCAGCGTAATGCACTGAGAGCCTCTTGCCTGCCCTCAGCTGCTAACTCCCTGAGCTTAGGTCCATAACGCAGAGATCTGTTGTGCTGAGGGTGACTTGAGATCCTGAATTCACCCCAGTAACGCTTGTTGAGCCTTACCACGTGGCAGGCCCTCTGGTGGCCGTGGGAGCCACCGGAGTGAAAATCCCAGTCCCTGCTCTCAGAGGGTTTTGGGACAGGGAAGGGGACAAGCAGTTCCTGAGTGACGTGACAGGCTCACACAGGGAAGGGGCTGCAGGCAGAGGGAGCAGGTCCTGCACGCGGGTGCAAGCGTCACCAGCCTGGGGGACGCCCCGTGGCCGGGCGCGGCCGGGGCAGCCGCAGGGGTGGGGGCGGTGGGACGTAAGAGCCATTGGCATGGTCCTGCAGGCCACTGAGAGGACCTGAGGCTTCCTCCCGAAAGTGAGAAGGAGCTGAAGGAAGGATACAGGCAGGCCTCGGAGATTGCTGCAGGCGCAGCTCCAGACCACGGCACTAAAGCGAGACCCACAATAAAGTCAGCTGCTGGAAGTCTGGTTTCCCAGGGCGTATAAAAGTTACATTGCACTATGCTGTGGTCTGAGCACGTGATAGCACTGTGTCTAAAACATGGCACATACTGTAATTAAAAGTGCATCAGTCCTGCGGGGGGTTGGGGGAGGGCTCAGCAGGTTAAGCACCGGCCTGTAAACCGAAAGGCCGCCGGTTTGATTACAGTCGGCACACGCCTGGGGTGCAGTGCAGGTCCCCAGTTGGGGGTGCGTGAGAGGCAGCCATCGATGCATCTTACACATTGATGTTTCTCTCCTTGTCTTTCTCCCTCCCTTCCCTCTCTCTAAAAGTAAACTAAATAAATCTGAGAAGAGAAAAAATACTTTGCTAAAATAAAATGCTGACCATCCTCTGAGCCCTCAGCAAGTTGTAACCTTTTTGCTGGTGGAGGGTCTTACCTTCAAGTTGTGAAAAAGCAGTATCTGCGAATGCAGTCACATTCGGTTTGCCTGTACTGGGTGTGCGAGAGGCACAGCTATCCAGTCCGGACTCCGGCCGCAGCACAGAGGAGGCCTGAGAGTGTCTGGGAGGCCCTGATACAGCTGCCCTTGGGGGAGGGGGGAGGGGGACCCAGAGACTGGGGGAGGTTGGCCCGCAGCCTTCCGGTGTGCTCTAGTGGGAGCACAGGGCAGAGGCAAAACTTAGGACGCCTTGCGTTTCTGGGGAGAGTGAGGTGTTGGTCTCAAATCTGAGGGTCATCTGGGGGCAGGGGAGGTACGCCTGCTGCTCCTGGATGGAAGGGGGCGGAAGTTGGGCAGAATTGGGACCTCCCCAGAGGCCCAGGCCTGCTGCGGCTCTGCACGAGGCCAGGTGAGTGCTCTGGCCCAGGTGACCAAAAAAACCTGGGGAAGGCAAGGCCCCATAGTGCCTTGAGCCCACGGTCGGGGGTTCACTGTCCTAACAGGCACTCCCTGACTTTAGGCACAATCGCACCAGCTGACACTGGTTTCAGGGTGTCAGGAAAGTCCCTTGTACCCACCCCAAGCTGTACTCTCCTCCAGGGGGTGGAGTCTGTGAAAAAGGAGATCGACGAAAGTGTGCTGGGCCAGACGGGACCCTACCGCAGGCCCGAACGGCTCCGGAAAAGGAAGGAGTTCGCTGGAGAGAAGATCAAGGAAGAGAAAGTGTTTGAACCCAATGAGTAGGTGCAAGGCCAAGTGGAGATCCCCAGTGCCTGCCCTTCAGGCTCACAAAAGTCCCACCCAAATCGGTTACCGAGCTTGTTTCCCGCTTCAGGGTTCCTGGTTCCCCTGAGAGAACTGAGGGAGAGCAGGTGGTGGGAAGGGGAACAGAGAAGGCAGGAAGCTGGGAGGTGAGGGCGGGGTTGCCTCCGCCCCGAGCTTGGGCCGCCCTGCTGCCCGCTCCCTGCAGCAGTGTGCCCAGACCCAGCGGCTCCGTAGCTGCTGCTCACCCGCCACCCCGTCTTCCCCAGGGAGGCTCTGGGGGTCGTGTTGCACAAGGACTCTAAGTGGTATCAGCAGTGGAAGGACTTCAGGGACAACAACGTGGTGTTCAACCGTGAGTGTTCATGTCACCGACACTTGGCTGAGAGCAGGGCCATGACGGGACATTTACTGAGCACTCGGGCACTGGGCACAGGCCAGACCCCCATTTTACAGAGGAGGAGACTGGGATCAGAGAGGAGCACCCATTTCTGCATTGTTACCCAGTGAGTGGCCAGTGGGCGGGTCTGTTGCGCTCAAGGCTGGTGGCCGCAGCTGGGCGCAGTGGCCGTGTGTGCCGAGGGACCCTCCCTCAGCAGGGAGGACGGGAGGCCAGGAACCCTGGTGCAGACGGACCCCCAGCCTGCCCAGGCCCTGGTGTTGGCGTGGGCCTTCCCAGATGCTGACGGGGCAGGTTGCGCCACACTCGGAGGCCCGAGTGCCCTTGGTGCACGCTCCCCGTGGTCCACGGCAGAGCAGGCTCTGCAGCACCTGGGGCCAGCTGGCCGCCCCCCAGGAAGCTGGCCCAGGCGGTCCTCTCGCTTGCCCAGCCTCTGCCTGGGGCAGTCACACAGCGGCCCCAAGGCGCTCCCAGGGGTCAGGGGTGCAGGGGTGTGTCCAGATGGGCACCCTGCGTTCTGCCGCCTCCCACAGGGTTCTTTGAGATGAAGATGAAGTATGACGAGAGTGACAACACGTTCATCCGGGCCTCCCGGGCGCTGACAGACAAGGTCACAGACTTGCTGGGTGAGTGGGTGGCTTTGGGGCGGCCCTGCCCTGCACCCGCACCCCTGGGCCTGCAGCTGGGTGGGGTCCCCGCCCCTCGGCCCACCGTTGGCTTGGCTGCCCCCAGGAGGCCTGTTCTCGAAGACAGAGATGTCAGAGGTGCTCACGGAGATCCTGCGCGTGGACCCCGCCTTCGACAAGGAGCGGTTCCTGCAGCAGTGCGAGAACGACATCATCCCCAACGTGCTGGAGGTGGGGGCCTGGCCTGGAGGCCACTCCTCGGGGCCCTCGCCGCCCTGCTTCGGGGTGCCTCCGACCCCGAGACCAGGCTAGAGGGTGTTCTCAGCAGGGATGAGGCTTCAGTCTTCAGAGCCTGAGCGCCCTGATTCCAGGGCCCTGTCTGTCTAGTTCCCCGGAGAAGGCGCCTGTTGCCCCATCCCTGCCCCCCGTGGCGGTGGCTCTGTCCCTGGTGTGGGTCTGCCTCGGGGACAGGTCCCTCTCCCTGCCTCTCGTTTCCCCCACATCCTCTGCCTGAGGCTGTCCCCTCAAGGCTGCCGGTGCTCAGGCGCCAGAGCCTCCCAGGGGTCAGGGGAGGCCGGCTGCGGCCCTCGGGCCAGCTGAGGGGCTCGGTGCCGGAGCGCAGGCCAGGCCCTCGCGGCGGGGCTGCCGCAGTAAGGCTCTGGGAGCCTTGAATCCCGTTTTCTGGTCCCCTGACTGCTCCTTTTGGCTCAGAAGTGAGGAGAGGGCAGCTTGCTCAGGGCCCCGCCTTTCACGAATCCCCTGGCCCAAGCTGCCGTTTCTCTGCCCGGCCACAGCCCCCGAGACGCGGCCTAAGCCTTGGCCACCTCTAGCCCAGCCACAGTAGGCTTTTGGGAGGCCCCTAGTAGGACACTAGAAAAGGCCTCGACCCCATGTGGATGTCGTCCCCGCTGCCTGCTCAGTCCCTCCTGCCACCTTGGCCAGGGCAGGGCACAGGTGGCAGTGGGGCGGTTCCTGAGAGCAGCAGCCCAGGCTTTGGCAGCTTCCTCCGGGGTAGGGAGGCTTAGTGCCTGGCCTGCCTGCAGCTGCCCACGGGCACCTGGCTCTCCTGCCCTCTCGGGGCTCCCCCCAGGTGCCCCCAGGCCCAGCCCTGACTCCAGGCTCCTGTGGAAGATGCTCCACCCCCGCCCCAGCCACTCCCTGGCCATCCAGAGCGTCATCTCCAGGAGAGGCAGAGCGCAGTGTCCCCCCTCCTTGGCGCAGTGCCCCTGCCCGGACCACAGCCCGGCCTGCCGCCACGCTCCTCTTCCACCAAGGCCCCCGCTGCGGCCTGACTCAGGCCGCACGCACCCCACCTTCCTCCCCCAGAACCCGCGGGGCAGGGGTGGGGAGGGTGTCTGCAGAGGAGAGGATTGCACTTACTTTTTTTGTGTTTCCCTTTTTAGGCCATGATTTCTGGAGAGCTTGACATTCTCAAAGATTGGTGCTATGAAGCTGTGAGTACTTTCTCTTTTTTCTACTTAGATCTAAAAAGAAATCACAGTTTGGAGATACGCTTGGATGGCTGGCCTGGAAAGGGCATGACAGGGCCTGGTGTCCTGGCCACATGGGTTCCTACGTCTGACACGCTTGCAGGCACTAACCCGTGTGTCTCTTACACGCATCCGAGCCGCGGACTGGGCGCCGTGTCGCCTGCTGGACTCACCGGGGGCCGGGTGGCTGGCCCTTCCAGACTAAACTCCAAGTGTGTGTGGGGCGGCACTCCCCCCGCCCCCCGCCCGGCTCGGCCTAAAGGGCGGCCTGGGGCCGGGCTGGGCCTCCCGCTCTGTCGTCAGGGTCCTTCTGCCGTCTGAACTGCGGTCGGGAGGCTCACAGGGCAGGAGAGCGACCCTGGGGAAGGCACCTCAGTGAGACGGGCTTTCAGTGGGGCCTGTCCACCCCATTTCAGGGCCTTGGGGACGTGAAGCCAGGCCCGTGGCCAGACGGCCTGGGGGATGGGCTGGGGCGCAGGGGCCAGGTGGAAAGGGACATGGAATAATTCTCGGGTGCATTAGGTGTCCCCCGAGCCCACAGATGCCAGGGAGAGAGCAGTCGGATGCCCCAGTGGCCTGCGTAGCCTCCCCTTTCGGAGTCGGTGCCACACGCGCAGAGAAGCGGTGTTGCAGGGCGCACGCAGCACCGGGCGAACTCATTCACTGGCCTGGCTTCAGGATCCCGGAACACAGAGCAGAGCAGGCGGTGGTGGATCTCCCGCCCAGGGAGGAGCATTGGGTCCTGAGGAGGCCCCGCCGCTCCCCCAGCGTCCGGGCTTGGGTGCAGGGGCTCCAGGCAGCGCTAGGCTGGGAGGGGATGGTCAGGTGTCCCCAGGAGCGCACTGGTAGCCTCATCCCCTCGGGGTTCCTGTCTCCTCCGGCCACCTCGTCTCACCCGACTTGTTCCCTGACCTTTGTCTTCATGGGGTGTTTTCTTCCATTTTCTTTTTATTAAGAAACCCGGAGGCTTTTTTAACTGATTCGATTCTGTACCAGCTACAACCAACGTGGAAAAAGCAGAGACGTTGTCAGATTTCCTTTTTACCTCCTCCCCTGCACAGTGACTAATTCAGCAGGCAGTTATGAGTGGGGGTTTTTTTTTTTTTTTTTTTTCCTTTAACTTTGGGGCCCTCAGAACATGGTGGAGTCTTTGCCAGGGAGCTGTGGCGCTGGTGCCTTGGAAAATGCAGATGAAGCTGTAGTTGCTCATAGAGGTGTGTTTCCGTTTTTTTAAGATTTTATTTATTTATTTTTTAGAGAGAGGGGAAGGGATAGAGAAAGAGAGAGAAACATCAACGTGAGAGAGAATCAATTGGTTGCCTCCCATATGCCACCCTGACCGGGGACCTGCCCGCAACCCAGGCACGTGTCCTGCACTGGGAATCGAACCGATGGCCTTTCAGTTTGTAGGCCGGCGCTCAACCCACTGAGCCACACCAGCCAGGGCCACAGAGATGGTTTTTTAAAGTGTCATTTTAATGTCCTTGCTGGTGTGGCTCAGTGGGTTGAGCGCCAGCCCGGGGCCAAAAGGCTGCCCGTGCCATTCCTGGTCAGGGCACAGGCCTGGGTTGCGGGCCAGGCCCGCAGCTGGGAGCGTGTGGGAGGCTCACATCAACTAGTGTTTCTCCCCCTCTCTTTCTTCCTCCTTACCCTCTCTCTACTAATGAATAAATAAAATATTTTTTAAAAATGTCATCTTGAAGAAACCTCGTAAGAAGTAGGATGGGCACTTTTTTTTTTTTATCTCGGCGGATCAGTTATTTTGATAAAAGAAGATGCTATTGGAATGTCTTCCTTCGTGGTTGTCTGTTGGGATAACGAGGCCACACGCTCCAGTAGCTATGTTTTGGTCCTGGCCGCAGACATGAGGGGATTAAGAGTCATTTGGGGGGCCACTGTCCTCGTGGGAAGAACAGGCTGCCTGTGGTGGTCAGCTACTAGGGGGGGGCTGGTCAGTGGGAAGAAGTTAGTGGCGGAGACACGCATGGGTTGGGGCAAGTCCTAGAAAAAGCGTTTGGTTGCAGGCCAAGACTTGGAGGGGGGCAAATGGGGGAGCGTTTGAGATCAGCCAGCAAGGCCTCCTGCCCGCCCTGCGAGAGCGTTTCAGGTGGCTTTCCATCGGCCTGCCTTGCGGATGAACGCCACTCTCGTTCGGTAGTCCTGGCGCGGCGTCGTCTTTATAATGAGAAGGAAGTGTGTGACTGGGACCAGCAAATGGGCGGCCCGCACATCTGTGCTGGGACCCAGGCGCCTGGCACGGGCTGCTCCTGGCGTGGCGCTCCACGCTCCGGGGCCCTGTCTGGCAGTGCAGGAGCTGAAGCGAGGAAGCTCTGCCAGGGGGCTGCCTGCGGGAGGGCATCCCAGGCCCGGACCCAGGGCGGGCAGGCGTTGGCAGGCACACCAGCCCTCGCCTGTGGCATGGCGCCGTGCCATGGCCTGGGCTTGGGTGGTCCTCAGAGGGGCGCGTTGGCCTCTTGTTGCAGACCTACAGCCAGCTGGCCCACCCGATCCAGCAAGCCAAGGCGCTGGGCCTCCAGTTCCACTCCCGCATCTTGGACATTGACAATGTCGATGTGAGTGCCTCTTCCTGGGTGGGCCGGGTGCGCCCTGGGGTTGGGAAGGGGAACCGATGAGGCGTGAGCTCCCTGTCCTTGGACGGGTTACAGCACAGGGGGACATTTTGATTAAATTGTCCATTACAGTGAAAGGTTTCCATAGTTCTGTGGGTGGAATGTTCTTAGGCAAGTGGTGGGCCTAGGGGTGGGGTTGCTGCACTCATCCCTCAGGGCCCCCCGGACCCCCCAGGCGGCCATGTGCCTGCACCTTCACTGGGAGGGGCGGGGCTTTGCCAGGACTGCTCAGGCTCTTGCTCTGCCACGGTCACCGTGCCTTCCTGTTTGGGGCTGAAGGCGCGCCAGCGCTGGCCTCTCCCCGCCACTTGTGCGCCAGGTGCCCAGCACTGTGAAGTCCCAAGGCCCCGCGTGGCCCTAGTCTGGGGACCAAGGCTGCCAGGGTGTTGGGAGTCCACATGGGCTCTCAGCAGTTTGGCCTCCATCTTGTAGTGGGGGGCTTGGACTGGTGCCTGGGAAGTCTCCTGGGAAATCCCTCCCCCTACATGGAAACAGGCCAGCAGGAGGGGACAACTGTGGGGGATTGATTGGGGTGACTCTTCAGGGTCCCTCCAGGGCGATGAGTCCAGATGTTGAGGTGCCAGGTGCCCTCCTGGCAGCACCACAGGAAGGGGGCGGGGCGGGGGCGGGTCTCCACTTCAAGGGGAGTGGCAGGCGGGCTGCAGGGGACCGACTGTTGGGTGAGACCCACCCACCCACCCTGCCGGCCCCCCCCCACAGTTGGCCATGGGCAAGATGATGGAGCAGGGGCCTGTGCTGATTGTTACCTTCCACGCCCAGCTGGTGATGGTGGTCAAGAACCCCAAAGGCGAGGTGGTCGAGGGCGACCCGGTGAGTGGGGGGCAGGGCCGGCGGCCAGCCCAGGACCAGCCGGAGGGAGGTAGCTGGCCACCCCGCATGGGGCAGTTCAGAGCCAGCAGTCTCTGTGACTGGGAGTGGGCGGCAGAGCGGTGCTCAGAGAAGCCCCGGGGTCTGTATGGGGCCTGGGGGAGGTCGGAAGGCAACTGGCCTGTCCAGTTTTACCAGGGCCTGAGTTGGAGCCTCTGCTGTGCTGCCCCTGACCCCGGGCCCAACCCCCACCCACACCCACACACACTCTTGCAGGACAAGGTGCTCCGCATGCTGTACGTGTGGGCCCTGTGCCGGGACCAGGATGAGCTCAACCCCTACGCGGCCTGGCGGCTCCTGGACATCTCCGCCTCCAGCACAGAGCAGGTCCTCTGAGCCCGTCAGCCATGACAGGGGCTCCGGGCTGTGTCATGCAGGGCGGCTGCACTGCGCGGGGCCGACCTCCAGCTGTTGCAGCAGACCTCTGGAGACGAGACAAGGCGGTCGGCTCTGGTCCACTCTGCCAGGGCGGCAGCAGGCCCAGCGGGCCAGGGACGGGCCGGGGACTGCGGAGGCAGCTGGCCACGGCGCCGGCCCCTGCACCGCCCTGTGCTGCTCAGGGGCTGCTGGCGGGCAGGTCACCGAGGCTCAGGCCGGGCAGTGCCGGGAGGCCTGGCCCCGAGCCTGCTCCGGGGACGGGGTGGTGGGCCCGCCGGCCACGTCAGTCAGGCTGTTTCAATAGCTCTATTTAAAAAAGAATGAACAGTGCCCTTATTCTCCTGTATGTATGCCTGAGACTTGGAAGTGATAATAAAACACCAAAGTGCAAGAAAGCAACTTGAATGGTTTGGGGTGTCCATCACTGGGGTGGCTGTGCAGGTCACTGAAAGAACGGGGACCCACAGGGGCACCATGTCTGGTTAGAATCCTCTACCCCTCCGGGGCGGAGGAGACCAGTGACAAGAAAAGCTAGGGAGGTGTCCCGCGGCCTGGCGGGGGACTCGCCTCCGAGGGGTGGGACCCCCAGGCCTGCAGGGGCTTGAGCATCCTTGAGTGGTGCTGAGGATGGCATTGGGGTTCCCCAAACAGGGATCCCGGCTGAAGGTTCCATCGTGAAGAACGGGGGTGCAGGAGCTAAGAACTGGGTGGAGGCATCTGGGGTGCTTGTCGGGGTGGGAGGGTGGGGTCCTGGATGCCGGCTGGTCCGCTGGGCCTGAGCGCGATGATCCCGAGGGCGGGCGCGGGCGCGGTCGCTGCCAAGCGTGCTCCTGGCTCCTGGCGCAGCCTCCGCCCCCCATTCCCGCCACCGCCCCGCCCCCGTTGCTATGGAAACAGCCGCGGCGGCCCGGCTCGCTCGCGCCTCGCCCGCCTCGGTCTTCGCTGCTTCCAGGGGCGGGTGGGGTGGGCTGAGCGCTGGCCGCCGCCGCCGCTGCCGTCACCGCCGCCGGGGAGAGGCCGAGAGCGGAGCCGGCGCGGGTCCTGGAGGAGAGCGCAGCTGCCTGGCGTTCGGTCCCCGTCGCGGTCGAGGCCAGGGTGAGGGGAACTGCGGGTTTGGTGGGGGAAGGGGTCCCCGGGACGCCGAGAACAAAGACAGCGGGCAGGGGACTGGCCAGACCCACGGCGCTCCCCGGCCGCACGGTCGCACCTGTTGTGTGCGGGCCGGCCGAGTCGGGGCTCCCTCTCCCCGCTCTCAGCGCCCCAACCTGCGCGGAGTTGGGTCCCCGCGTGGCGGTCGCGGTGTGTCTACGGGCGGGGCATGGGCGTTGCCCGGAGACCGGAGACGGGAACGGGCAAGGGCGGGGGCGACGTGGGAAGGCAGAACCTCATCCCCGCGCCCCGGGCCAAGCCGGACCGGGCCGAGCCGACCCCTTGTGCACAGGGCGCGCGGCGATGTGAGCCATGAGCACGACCTGGACGCTGTCCCCCGAGCCGTTGCCGCCGTCGACGGGGCCCCCGGCGGGCGCGGGCCTGGATGCCGAGCAGCGCACGGTGTTCGCCTTCGTTCTCTGCCTGCTCGTGGTGCTGGTGCTGCTGATGGTGCGCTGCGTGCGCATCCTACTCGACCCCTACAGCCGCATGCCCGCCTCGTCCTGGACCGACCACAAGGAGGCGCTGGAGCGTGGCCAGTTCGACTACGCGCTGGTCTGAGCCCGGCCGCCGGTGGCCCTCCACTGGGCGGGGTGCCGCGGGCCCGGACCGCCCTCAGGATCCCACCCCAGAGCGCAGCCCAAGGGTAGGGCGTGAGAAATCCAGCCCGTCCCGCCCAGACCTCCGCCCTCCGCCCCCGCCCGCTGTCCTCCGTCCCGGGCTAGCCCGAGCCCCAGTTCGTGCCTTTAGCCCTCCCTGTCCTCAACCCCAAAATTAACGGAGCCCGCGTCGTGTAGGTGGCTCTGCTGTTGTCCCGTCGCCAGCATGAGTGTTCTGTCCGTTCCTGGATGCGGGAACCCCGTCTCCTTCCTCCGCTGTTGTCCGGCCATCCCCACCACGACCCCGCTGAGTGCTGAGCCCCCGCGTGGGCTCCCTCCTGGCCCCACGGCGTGGATGCTGCACGCCAATATGCCCCGCTCAGGCTGCCCGGGGACCGAGCTTGAAGAGCGACACCGGCCGCTGTGCCCAGGATGCGCGGCGCCGTCCGTGGGGAGAGAGTGCCGGCAGGCTCACTCCGGCCCCGAGCCCAGGCCCCAGGCTGGATCGGCACACCCCTCCCTCGGTCGCCATCTCCCGTAGGCCGGGCGCAGGCTCTCTGCCACCTCCCCGTCCCCCTCCCGCACCCCACACCCTGCCCCCGCTGTCCGCCTGCTTTCTCACGCCTACCCGCCTCTGAGCTGATGGCGATAATAAAAGCTATTGTTGAACGCTTAACTTGAGCGAGCTGAGTTAGCACCTTTCTGCCCAGGCCTGCGAAGGCGCCCAGACCCACACTTGGGGGATCCATGCGTTACCACCTCAATCCCCCCAGCTCCAGGCAGTCAAGACACGCTCCTCTCTCCCGTGACCTGGGGAGACTCTGGGGACTGTGAGATGGACAGAGCCGAGTGGGGAGCTGGGGTGGGGCGCCCTCAGCCAGCCCTGCAGGTGAACTCTGAGAACAGGCATGGCCGCCTGCTGTGACAGCCTCATCTTCAGCTCCAAACCCCCATGACCCTGCCTGGACCCTTCTTCTCATGCACCATCATCGCGTGCACTCAGGTACCCGTGGGTCAGGGGTAAGACCATGGAGTGGGCTGGCCCCACTCCACAGCCCGTGTTGTGCGCCCAGGAAAGCTGTGTGCAGCGTGTGTGGGGAGAAGTGAGGGTTTCTATAAAAGGAAGGCTGAGTGAATGCACAGGCTCTTGGAACACATTTTCCCGGCTCTCAGAGGACCAGGGAGGCCTGGGGAAATGCCGTTCCAAACACACCTGGTTCCTGCCCCGCCCTCCCCACCTGCTTCGCCCCCACGTCCTCAGAGGCTGGCGGAGGGGAGACCCCTTGCAAGGAGACCCAATAGCACCTCCAAGAATATGAGGCCTTTGACAGCAGCTGGGACTCCTGCTCCCTCCTTTACCTAGTCCTGCTCCTCCTGCTGTTTTCTTGCTTCCCCACGTCTGTCTTAGGTATCCTCTTTCTAACCTGCAACATCAGACAGCCTACCCTGAAGCTCAGGCCCCTCAGCCTTGGAAAACCAGAATAATATCAAGAGTTTACTAAGGGAACCTCAGGGAGAAGTGGCTGCACACCAAATGGGGAGGGAGGGTGTGATATAAACAGCCAAGTGGCAACAGGCCCCCCCCCTGCCCCCGCCCCAGCGTGAACTGGCAGCCTTGGTGACAGTTTTGTTAAGTACAAAGAATCTTCTTGCCTAACACGCCCTCACTCTGCTGGTGTAAGGTCTGTATGATGTAAGGTCACCCTGCTTGGAAAGCCTTCCCCTGACACCTGCTGGGCTCAGGCTTGCCCTAACCCGCCAGCAGTCCCCAGGGTCCCCTCATAGCCAACCAAGTCGTCATTCCAAGCAGCTGCGGAGGAGAGCTGGCACAGTAGCCTTTGGTGACCACATCCTGCTCCCTGGCACACCCTCTTGGCCCCTAGGACCCCAAGCTCTGCCTCTCCCACTTCTGACATCTCCCTCTGCACTTTAAACCCCCATTGCCACTTTGACTCACAGAAAAAAAGAGCAAGAAAGATCAACAACTTTATTCAGTTAGAGCAACGGTCCTAGCACCAGGGACCAGTTCTATGGAAGGAAATTCCCCCTACGAGGACAGAAAGACAGGAGGGGGAGCTCAGGAGGCAAGCGAATGGGAGCAAAGCTTCCAGGCTTCAGTGGGGTGCCCCCTGCTGTGTGGCGAGGTTCCTAACAGGCCACAGGCCAACACGGGCGTGAGGCCCTGGCGTTGGGGACCCCAGAGTTACAGGACATAGGCTACAGGATGCAGGAAGTCAGGAGAGGCCAGGGGTGGTTTTTAGCCCAGCCATGTGGTTACCCCCACCTCCGGTCTGTGGCTGAACTTCTGTGCAACTGGGCTTCCATCTCTGAGGCCCCTGCTGCATGGATCATCTTAAAGGCCACTTGGCACTGCACTGAGTCTGGGACGTTCCACTATGACCAGACTGCCTGCACACCCAGTGCCAGCCCGAGCAGAATCGGGGGCTAGGGACTCACAATGTGTGGTGTGTCCTCTGCCTACTGGGCCCCTTACTTTGCAGGGGTGGCCACCTGGCCCAGAAGCTCCAGGGGCACCAGGAATGGGTTCAGGGGGCAGACCCCAGCTGCTTCCCAGGCAGATCTTGGTTCGTCAGGCCTGGCGTTCTCAGGGGCCTGGGGGGTGGCCTGGCTGGCCTCCTCTTGGTTTCTAGAGCCAGTCCCACAGTCCTCAGGCCCTGGTTCCAAGCTCCCACTGCTGGGGTCAGACTGGGGAGCCATCAAGCGTAGGTATGTATCCATCATATGCTCAACCAGGGCTGCACAGGGCAGGTGAGGCAGCTCCTCAGGAAGTGCCATGAGCAGGTCAAGGACCACAGCTGACTCTGGTGACGGAAGGAGAGGGGAGGGGTAAGAGGAGAACAGGGGCTTGCTACCTGAGACCCCACCTCCACAGCCCCCGTCCCCCGTTGTTCTCACCAGCTGCAGAAAGCTCAGGGCCACGGCAACTGTGGGAGACGGAGGACAGGTACTTGTAGATCTTCTCAAAGTCTATGACTAGGTCTCCGTCAGCAGAGAGGCCGGCCGGCAATTCAGAAGGTGCCGCAGGGGCAGGGGCAGGGGCCTCAGGGCTCTGGTTTTCCTGCCCAGTAGGGGTGTTGAGGGGCAGCAGTTTCCCACGTGCCTGCGTGGGCTTTGGGGGCTTGGACTGCAGGAGACTGGTGGGCTCCACGGCCGCGATGGTGAGTGCCTGGCGGACAGGGAGATCAGGAAGGGAAGGCAGAAGGCCTCCCTGCGGCCATGCCCCTGCCCTGCAACTGCGAGGAACCCTCCACCTCCACCTGCTCACCCAGGGAAGGTGTCACACACAGATGGCCTCAGAGTGGGGATAGTGAGGCTCAGGGTGTCTCATGACTGGCCAGAGTCACGGAGCTGGTAAGGGGAAAGGCCCAGGACACAGACCCACCTCATTTAGACTCTTACATATGACCCTGTCCCCAGGGACGCTGGCAGCCTGCCCAGGGGATGACTGTACCTGCGAGAATGCTGCGGTCAGGGTCTCCTCCAGAGGGCCTGTTATCTTCTCAGCCAGATCCATCCAAACCTGGGCAGGGAAACCAAAAAGTACATGGTCAGCCTAGGGATCAACCCTCAGGACCCCCTCCCCCCGCCCCCCGGCCGCAAGGGTTGCCCCTCCTGAGAACCACCCGACCAGTTTATCCTCCCAACATCCACCCCATCTTCCAGGGGAGCCTTACCCTAACTCACCTCGATGGGGGCCGGGATCTGTGTTTCCAGTTGCCTTTGACCCTTTGGGCCACCTGAATGTACCCTCTGAATGGCTTCCCGGGCCACACGGCCCTTGAGCTGCTGGAGGAAATCCCGAATCTGGGGAAGAGACATGGGGAAGTCAAATGGGCCTTTTACAAACTCAGAGCTGGGGCAAAGAAGCCAAAGACCACGGCGTGCTCCAGAGCTGGCCACTGCTCCTTCCTTCCTGCAAGCCCGATGTTAAGGACCACAGAGACTGTGCCCAGGGTGTGGGGCCAAGGCCCAGATATGAGCTAATAAAAATGTAAGGTCCACGCCTGTCTGGCTCCTCCCCGCTGCCAGGGCCCGTCCCCTGCTAAGCACGGACCTATTCACCTCCCCGCTTCATCCACCCCGCCCCATTTCCCGATTCTTATTTCAACCTCATTCCCGCCCAGTCTCGCTGCGCCAAACTACCCGTACGCCCCGTCCGGGCCGCCGCTCAGTCCCACTCCAAGTTCGCCCCGCCCCTAAGTTTTGCCTTCGCCCCGCCCTCAGCCTCGCGCTCGCCCCGCCCCCGCCCCGCTCCCAGGCTCGCGCTCGCCCCCGCCCCCGCCCCGCCGCTAGCCCCGCTGCAGGCGCCTGCTCCGAACACATCTCAGGTCCGCCTCCAGCCTCTCTCTTTTCCCGGAACCCCATCCGCCTCCAGCCTCGCTCTTTTCCCGGAATCCCCTCACCTCGGCCTCGCTCCGGCCTGGCAGCTCTCCGGCCAGTTCGGCGGCGTCCGGCTCCCGCTGGCCACGCCGCGTCTGCAGCAGTCGGAGCAGCTGCCGCTTCTCGCGGGCGCTCCAGACCGCAGTGCGAACCACCTCGCCCAGATAGCGCGCCGGGGCAACTCGCCGCCGTTGCGGGGGCTTCATGCTGATGAGGGTGGAGTTGACGTTCCAGGCCCCGTTCCCCGGAGGGCGGAGTTACGGAGGCCGCTGGGACCGTAATGCACCAAGCGGAAGCGGAAGCAGAAGCAGACGGGGGAGTAGCTCTGGGACGCGAGGTAAAGAGAACGCATGGATAGGAAAAGGTGGAGAGGCTGGCGTCCGAATTGGCAGAGATGGGTGTGATCCTCCCCGCCCAAATTTTATTTCATTTGTAAGCTGGAGCCCAAACCATACATCTCCATTTCTGGACTTCTCTCCATTTCTGGACTAAGTTTTGCGAAACCCCAACAGTGGCCTTTGCTTCTGGAAGAGGGTGGATCCTGGTAGGAAGGACAGCTGTCCAGTCGTAGCCAAGGGCCTGGGCTGTGGGGTCGCCCGCCCGTGGGGACATTGAGCAGGTGATTTAGCTGTACCCAGCTCCAGTTTCCTTAGCTATAAAATGGAGCGAGTCGCCTCGCTCTTGTCAATGCCCAGGGGAGGAAGGGAGCTGGGACGGGAGCGTTTTTAGGAGCTTTAAACCTGGCGGAGAGGAGACTGGAGCAGAGGCCGGAGGTGGAGGCCCCGGCGAGGCCAGGGTTCGGACGGTGGGAGTGGAGAGGGGAGAAGGCCTGGATTTGAGAAAATCGTAAGAGGCAGGTCCTCCGGTGCTGGGACGAAGGAGGACACAGGGCTTATTTAAAACTTAATCTCTGGGCCCTGGCTGGTGTGGCTCAATAGACTGAGCGCCGGCCTGTAAACCGAAGGGTTCTCGATTCGATTCCCAGTCAGGGCATCTACGGTTACAGGTTTGGTCGCCCTGGTCTTGCGAGAGATAACCGAGCTATGTTTCTCTCCCTCCCTCCTCTCTCTAAAAAATTTAAAGGAACCCCCCCCCCAAAAAAAAAACCTAGTGGAGTCTGGTGCTCCTTTTTGTTTGGGACAAAACCCCCTTGGGTCTTAGCAAAAGAGCCTATGAGCCTCACCTCTCCAGCCCGGCCCTCCTCCATCCTGGAATCCTTCCAGTCCTGATGCCAAGACTCCGCGCGCTGTCCCCCAACCCCGACCCCTGCGGGCACAGCACATCTCAGAACGCTAGGTCAGACGAGACGTTTATTTTGAGCCCTGGTGGGAGGAGGAGTGAGGAGGGCGGGGCGCGGGGATCGCGTCTTGTGGTTCGGTGGGTCTGAGGTCCAGTCTGACGAGTGGCGGCTTGGTGAGGCTCTGGACCTTGCTGGGGGCACACCATCCAGCTGCCCTAGGGAAGAGGAAACAACGCAGGCTACCTCCTCAGCTGACCAGTGGCCTCCGCGATACGCGGGAGTGAGGATGCCAGGTCCGAATCCCGAATTCTCGCCTCGTGCCGTCCTGCACAGAGCCCGCAGTCCACCGCGGGTAACCCAGTGCCTGAGTTCAAATCCCAGCTCCACCAAATTTTGTGACCTTTGATAAATTACTTAAGAGTGCCTCCGTTTTTTCATCTCTAAAATGGTGGTGATAATAGTACCTATCTGAAGGTTTTTATGAGGATGTAGTTAGCATATGTGAAATATTTAGACACTTGATATTAGCCAAAAGGTTGAGAAGTGGTATGTGTAAAATATTTAAAACAGCACGCTATGAAGTCATTACCACCACCTACTTCCTCCAGTTCTTTGGGCCCCACGTTACACCTACACCTACACACACTTACCTGCTTCACTGGGGTCTTACGGGCTGGGGGTCGCTGGGTGAGGCTCTCGGGGGTGGGCCAGGAGGTGGCGGCGCCGGAAGGGGGAGGCAGACTGCTGAGCAGGGGCTGCTGAGCTCTGGCCTGGTGCAGGGGCGCCCCCTGGGGGCCGCTGCGGGCGTAACGGAGGACATATGGATGATTAGCCTGCCCTGGCTGGGATCACAGCGATCCAGGTCCCCAATCGCGGGAATGAGGGTGGTACCGGAGTGCGCGCAAACGAGGCCAAACGCGGCGGCCAGCGCGGTGCCCAGCAAGAAGGCGGCCACCACCAGCGCCACCACTGGGGCGGGCTCCAGGGACACTGGGGCAGGCGCTGGAAGCTCCGGACGTGCGGCTCTGCTGGGGATGTCCTTGGGTGGCCCTGCTGGGAGTACAGCGATGAGACTGGGTCCGTGCCCCAGAGGTTCTTCCCACCCGGTTCTCTGGCCCCAGGGACCCCTGCAGAGGAGGACTGTGCACTCACTGAGGGGTGGCCGAGGGACCGTGACCACGATGGGCTGTGTCAGCGTGTGCATGTGGGGGCTGTTAGTACCCAGAGTGCCGCTGCTGCCACTGCTGGCGACGGCACACGCCTCATTTTGAGGCAGACACTGAAAAGGAGGGAAGGGACGGGGAAGTGAGGGCCTGGGGATCCAGAGGCTGGTCCCCAGGGCTCCCAAAAGATCAGTATGTACAGCATTCTTTGCAACCAGGAGCCCTACCACTAGAGCCCCCGGGGGTCCCTGAGTGCAGTCCGTAAGACAGAGAAGCAGCCGGCCACTCAGCAGCTAAAGGCTCCAAGTTTTAGTCCCTGAAGTTCACACAACCCGGCTCTCTGAGCACCTAACCTGTGAAGTCCAACATTAGGTACCCAGAGATTTGGCCCCTTGCTGGCTTTCTTCATCCAACCACCCCGCCCTGGAGGGACCTCAAAGCCCCGCCCAAGGAGATCTGGGTGCCCTGTCCATGAGGGAATTCAGTACCCACTCCCTGTCCCCTGAGGAAACCTTATGTCGAGCCCCCACGGGCCTCTCGAGCGCCCTGCGCCCAGCCTCCAGCCTGAAGCCCAGTGCCTGCCCCCAGTTCCAAGGGACCCGTGCCCAGACTCCAAAGCCCCTTGACCCCAAGATCCCCAAACTCCGAGGGGCTCCTCGTTCAGATACCGGAAGCGCTCCTGCCCACCCCGCGACCGGCCCCAGGAGCCCAGGCTCCCTGCCCTGCGCCCGCGCACCGGCGACGGGGGTGACAGCGTCAGAGGTGCCGGAGTCTGGTGGGCTCCCCAGAGGCAGCGGCGGCGGCTCAGCTGGCAGTGCAGGAACTGCACAGAGGCGTTGAAGACCGGGCGCAGGCGGAAGCTGAAGCGGACAACCCGGGGGCGCGGCGGCGCGAAGGTGACCGAGGAATCGGCGGGACAGCCGCTGCGCAGCAGCACCAGGGCGGGCCCCGGGGCCGGACGCGAGGACGGTGTCATCCAGCAGCGGTGCAGGGCCAGGCCCCAGCGCCGCGAGGGACGGGCCAGGGCCGCCTGGACGGGGAGTGGAGGGGGGGTGTTACAGGGTGAAGCATCGCGGTCAGGGTCAGATGCCCCCATCTGCCCGCCCCTGGCCCTGGCGGGCCCCAGTCCGCACCTGCACAAACACACAGCTGTCCGCTGGGACCTCGAGAGGCCCCGCGCGGCGCTGGAAGGCATCCTCTGCTTCCGACAGCTCTAGACTGAAAAGGGGTCGGCGCAGCCACGGCCCGGGCGCAGCTGCGAACGTGGCTACTGGCGGGTTAAGAGAGGGTGGCACAGAGGGAGGACGCGCTGCGCCTTAGGCTCTTGGGCAAATGATCCAACCTCCTAGCCGGCTTTGGAAAATGGATGCAGTGGAGGATTCACTCCTATGCCCGGCTCCCCGCCTTGCTCAGCGCGAGTTGGGACAGCATGATGTCCTCCCTGGAGACCCCTGGGACACCACAGCCCAGCAGCTGGGGCTGGGCACAAACCTGTGCGCCCCTGGGGAGGAGCTCCCTTTGCTGGACCCCAATTTCCTCCTCCGCAGTGAGGGAGGGAATTTGGACTGGGAACGGGGTGAGGGGCCCAGGGCCTGCAGCCGGGCCAGCCTGGGGGTGGGAGTGTGCTGGCTCCGCCCTTCCCTTCCTAAGGGGAGACAGGTGCTGTCATTGACGGGGGCGGGGGGGGGGGTGCGGCGGCGGGAGGGTGTGAGAAGGGAAGAGGGGAGGGGGGTGCTCTCCCACAGCCCTTCTGGCACATCCCAGGCCCGGCCAGGCCACTAGGCTCTGGGGCTCTTGCCTCACTCCCAGGCTCAGGACAGCGGCACCGGGAGCACGACAGGGGTCTCCTACTCCAGGATGGCCCGCGCATGCCGTGCACATGGACGAAGGTAGCCGTCAGGAGGCACTTGCTGGGTCCTTGTCTCTCCCATGCTCAGGATCCCTCCCCTGCCCCCATCTCTGGCCTCCCTGTGACTGCTGAGGACTTTGAAGTTGGGGATACCCGAGGATCTGGAAACAGGGAACAGGATAGACCCCGCTGCCCACCCACTCCTTCCCACAGGCGAAGCGGCACAGGAATGGGAGCACGAAGGCACGCGTCTCCCGGCCCGACTTACCAGGAGGCCTGCTGGGCAAGGCGGAGACCCCCAGGAGCAGGATGAGGAGCTGGAGCGTGGGGCCCCGCATGCTGGACTGGCTGCGCTGGGCGTGCGGGGGGCAGAGGCAGAGGCACCAGCCCCAGCAGCACCCAGGCCAGCAGGTAGGCAGGTGGCCCTGTCCTTGGCTGGCAGCCACTCCCCGAGGCAACGGGCGGGGGCGGCCCGAGGGGCTGACACCGGAGCCCTCGCCCAAGGCCTGCCAGGAGTCAGGCACCCTCTCCACTGCCGCCTCGATCCTGGGCGATTCATTACGAAGCCCGCCCTGCCTCAGTGTCCCTTCTGACGTGGAGACCTCACCCACCCGCGCGGCACCACTCCCCAGCCACCCCGACCCCCAGGTCAGGGCTCACAGACCCTGTCCGCGTCTCCCACCACATCCTACGGAGGCTCAGGTCACACCACAGACCAAGTGGAAGAAAAGGGAGGGGTTTTATTCTCAAGCGTCTAAGGAATTACAAACAAGGGTGTTTCATTTTAAAAAGGGAAGGGGCAATACTGGCGGCCTGAGAAGGGGTCGTGGGCTGGGCCCGGTGCCCCAGCTCCTGCCTGCCTGCTCAGCCCTCTGCCTGGTCCGGGAGGATGGCTGGTGACTGGAGACAGAGGGAGGAGAGGCTCCCCCAGGGCTCCCACTTAACACTGAAGGGGAGGGGCAGGTGGACACACACTCACGAAACAAACAACTTAAATAAAAATAAACCTGGGCAGCCGGCCTCCAGCCGTTGCTGGCCCTGGAACCAGCCACTCAACCTTCTGGTTACCGGCTAAGGCCCCCGCGGCCGGGACCCCCAAGGGCAAGGCCAGGCCTTGCGGCCCCTCACCCTACCCCAACCCCTCACAAAGGGGACTCGGGTAAGAGAGGGGGCCAGTCCCTGCCCCCTCCCCCAGGGCGGGGCAGAGAGAAGACATGGAGTACTTTTAAACATGCGGCCTTTGTGACTAAGTTAAGAGAGTAACAAGAGTCAACAGGGCAGAGAGAAGTTACAGTGACGCCTGGGCTGGGCCTAGGCTGCTCCAGCTGCATCCAGGGAGGCTCCTCACCTTTGGCGTTGGTTGGTTTTGTGTGCGTGTGCGTGTTTTGTCCACTGATTTGCATGCATCACCAACAAAAAAGGAAACCACCCCCTACTGCTTGGACTGCTGCAGAGGGCTGGGGGGAGGGGGCCCACGGCCCAGCTTCAAGGCGGGCTAGGGGACTGGCCAGCTCTGGGGGAGTTGAGGGGCACTGAGGGCAGCGGCTGCCTTCGCGCGCCCAGCCCTCGGCCTGCTCCACCTCTGTCCCTGCCACACGTCCTCGAACACCCACCATCCGTTCCCTGCACCCTCCCTCCCAGTCTCCCTGGGCCCTGCGCCCCGTGCTGTCCTTCATTCCCTCCTCCTGGCCACACCCGCATTTCCTGCCTCCCACCTCGCTCCACACCCACCTTCCCTGAAGGCCACCCTGTGTGGCCATGGCCCCGTGGGCTCCCTCCCAACTACCTGAGGTCCTCAACTCATCCCAAGCTGTGGCCAGTCTCCGGCCCCAAGGGAGGAGCCCCCGCCCCCAGCCCCCACCTTGGGGACTAGTCTCTCTGGGTTGGGCTGACAAGGCGCAGCGGCCCAGGCCCCAGCCCTCTAGTGCCCAGGGTAGGTCGTGGGCTGCACCACAAGCAGCTAAACATGACTTTGGTAAGTTTCTGAAGGTACCGACAAACCCCATGAGAACAAGCTCTTCTTCCTCCCCCCATCCCCCAAACACCCCACCAAGTACAATAAAATACAATAAACTCCAAAAAGGACCCCCTGAGATTAAAGAGAGAGAGAGAGAGAGAGAGAGAGAGAGAGAGAGAGAGAGAGAGAGAGAGAGACCGCACGTGCGCGCGCACGAGCACGGGAGCGCAGCCCGGGCCAGCTGCAGTCACACTGCCCAGCCTGCCTTCCTGGGACGAGGGTGCCAGCCAGAGGGCTTGCTGCTTGCCACACACCTATGTGGACCAAGGGGTCCGCTGTGGGTGGCAGAGCCGGGGCGTGGGCCAGGAGAGAGGCAGAGGCAGGAAAGGAGACGGGAAATCAGAGAGGCATCAAGGGAGGTGAGAGAAAGAGATGGAGACAGGGAGCACGTGTACCGCGGAAGGGACAGCACGGGGCAAGTGTGGGAGGATGCAAGACAGGTGACTCTCTCCTGGCCCCTGGTGGCCACCCCAGCCCAGAGGTTACGACTGAATAAATAGCGAGTCTGCTCGCGGCCTGCTGTCTTCCGTTCACAGTGTCTGTAGGGGGACTCGTACAGTCGGCTGACCCCAGGACTGGAGGGGCTGGGACCTGGTGGGCCCATCTGTCCATGGCTGCTGGGCAGGGAGGCGGGGTTGGGTTGGCATCCCGTACTTTGTCCTCAGCCCTCGGCGGCCGTCCAGTTCCCAGGTCTCCCCTGGCGGGCAGCTGAGTGGCCGGGTAGGGAAGAGGGGGGCCTGTGGCCACGTCCCCGGCCCCCCCCGGTGGGGCTGGCCGCCGCCATGCAGCTACCTGAAGAAGGGCAGGTGGTGCTGGCTTAGGACTCCACTAGTCCTCGGTGACTCAGTCTTCGCCATGACATCCTTGAACCAGGATGCCACGTCCACCTCCAGCGTCTCATAGCGCTTGATGAAGCTGTGTTCCTGCAGAGCCCAAGGTGGATGCTTAGGACAAAAGTAGCTTCCCTGCTGGCCCCACCCAGGCCAAGTGTCCAGAGGAATGGACGGTGGGGACTGAGGCCGGGACAGGGTGGGGAGGGGGCCCCAGGTACTCACAAGTAGCTTATTATACTTTGGTCTCTTCCTGTGATCTTTAGTAAGGCTGGAGACAGAGAGGAGGAAAGGGAAGTGAGGACCTGGAGGCCGGCTCAGCTGTGCCACCGGCTGAGCCACGGGTCTGCAAAGGCTGTGGGAAGGAGCTACCGCGTCCTCCCAGCCCTGTGCCACCAGCTGGGACACCTCAGAGGACCCGGGCCTGCACCGTGTTGTGTCGCACTAGTAAGGAGGGGCTTCCCCGAGGGACACTCCCACACGGGCATCCTGCCAGTGTGACCCCGCTTGCCAGGGCAGAGTGCTCCAAGCCCTCGGACCTCTGCTTGTGTTCCGCCTCCTGAGGTGTAGCCCCTGGCCATCTGGCCAAATGCTCTGGGGCCCGCTGTCCTCTCAAGCCCAGTCCAAACACCAGCCATGGCTCTCAGGGCTCTAGCTCCTGCCTGCAGCCCCTGCCCTGAGCTCCTTCTGGCCCACAGCTGCCCCATCCCCATGAAGGAGGGCTTGCCACTCCCCTCCCGCCCACAACCTCCCCCACTGCTCTGAGCTTGGGCCACATGGGACCTGCCCCCCGCCCCCAGCGGAGCGCAGGCGTAGAGGCTCCTCACCAGTCTTTGACGAAGGACTGAAAGTCCCCCGAGAAGCCCATGTGGCTGGGCAGGAGCGGGGGCTCTTCCTGCAGGACCTTGGTGAGGACCTCAAAGTCCGTCTTACAGTTCTTATAGGGAAACTGTCCTGTCGCCAGCTCCACCTGGGGAAGAGATGGGGGGCTGGATTGGCCAAGGACGGGCTCCTGTCCTCCCTGCTCTCCTTCTGTACCCCAAGGATGGGTCAGCCCAGCTCTCAGAAGAAGGGACCCCAACTCACCAGGGAGATGCCCAGGCTCCACACATCAGCCCGGATGTCATAGTCTGGCTTGGTGGGGTCTGGGGGGTCAATGCGCTCAGGCTGTGGGGAAGAGGCGGGGGAGAGTAAACAGGGCAAGGGGAGAAGGGACCCCTGAGGTGGAGGCAGGTGTACTGCCCAGGTCCCAGGCCACCTGCCCGCCAGGCCCCCACTTACTGCCATGTAGGCGGCACAGCCAGCGCTCCGCGTTTTGGCCTTGGAGTCGACAAGGCGGCCACTGATGCCGAAATCGCAGAGCTTGATCTGGCCCCGCTCGTCCAACAGGATGTTGGAGGGCTTGACGTCCCGGTGGATCACACCGTGCTTCTCTTTCAGGTAGTAGAGCGCCTTCACAATCTTCGAGGAAGGGAGAGGGCGCTGTGACTTGGTCAGGAGCGGGAGACGGAGCCCGGGCGGCCCGCCTCAGCCCCTGCCGGGCCACTCACCGCTACTGTCATCTTGCCCAGGATCCGCTCAGGGATGGGACCCTGCATCCGCTTCTTCAGCTTCTCAGCGCAAGTGCCCATGAGCTCCATGGCAATGAAGACATCTGTCTGCAGGGGCAGCAGGCATGGCTTTGGGGCAGCTGTACCCTCCTGCCCAACCACCATCAGGGGAAGAGGACGGGCACGCAAGGAAATGCTCAGGGTGACGAGGGAAGCTCGAGGGAGTGGGCAGACAAGGTGGGGCCAGGCAGTCGGGCTCACGTTGGTGATGAAGGTCCCAAAGCACTGCACGATGTAGGGGCAGTCATGGCTCTTGAGCACCACATCCAGGTCCATGAGGATCCGCTTGTTCTCTTCCTTGTTCCCCGAGCGTCGCATTTGCTGCACAGGACCGCGGGGAGAGGGGAGGAGATCCTAAGCACCAGAGCTAAGGGGCGTGGGGCTCACCTGGGCGGGGCGGGGAGCTCACCTTGACAGCGATGATGTGGCCTGTCTTCCGGAAGCGCATCTTCCATACCTGGCCGCAGGTGCCGCTGCCCATCTCCCCCAAATTCTCCAGGTCGTTGATTTCCGCCTGGTAGCGCTGGTGAGGAGAGTCAGGGCTAGGGGTCTGCCTAGCCCTTGCCCCCCCCACATAGACCCAGCCCTGCTGTATCCTGCCCACCCCCTGGGGGCTGGGGGAAGGGTGGTACCTGGCCCCCGATAGTCAGGTAGCCTGTCTGCTTCATGATCTCCTGCAGCTTCTGGTCAATCTCGATACTGGGGGAACAGGGAGCAGGTGTGGGTGGAGGGGAGTCCTGACCAACCTGAGGCCACCCCAGTCCCCAACAGGCAGAAGTTCCCACAGATTTCACCACCTCCTCCCTGGGGCCAGCCCAGAGGCCCTCCCCATGCTGGCCTCCCACGGGTCAGCTGGCCCACTGTGAAGGCTCACCTCTCCATGCTTCGGGGTGTGAACAAGGTGGACGGCAGCCCCAGCATGTGGCGGGGCCGGGCGGGGGGCGTGGGCTGCTGCGGGGAGCTCTCAGAGGATGGTGAGCGGCTGCCGCCATCGTTGGCCAGTGGGAGCTGCAGGGCTGGGGGTGAGAGCCAGGGGCGTGGAGGGGGTTAGTGTCCAGCTGACCCCACCTCCAGAGCTGGCACTCTTGGGGGCTGGGGACCTTAATCTTCCCCTCACGGGCACCCTCAACTCATGTCGGCTAGCACTGCCTCCTGCCCTGCTGGGTGGGAAGAGCTGGGGTCTGCCCCCTTGGCACCACTCTCGGGGTACCTCGTCCATCCCCCTGCCCTGGAAGAAGGAGCGGGCTGGCTGGACATGGTGGTCCTCAGAGGCCGAGAGTTTATGCCTAGGTCTGTGCTGATGGGGAAATGTGGCCTGGAGGCTGATGGTGTCCCTCGGCCAGGCACACTCCCTGGCGTGTCCCTTTCCTCCCACCTCTGCCCAGGAAGCAGGCACAGGGCCATGGTGCCCATGCTTGGGACCACGTGAGGACGGACTGCCCGCCAGGATCAGCCTGGGATTTGGTCCTGTGAGCGGAAGTGAACTTGGCTGCCCAACCAGAGTGAGGCAAACTGCCTTGGGGAGACAATGGGTGAGGGACCCAGGCTTTCCATGCCCCATGTTCTGTTCCAGAGTCAGGCAGGGCCTCCCTCTGGGCAGCAGGCTCGTCTTTTGAGCCTCTGTGCCCGGCCCTCAGAGCTGGGGCCAGCAGGGACAGGGCGGGGGCAGGACCCCAGGCTGGGCCTGTGTGCTGATGGTGAGGGGTTCGGGCTGGCGCAGCCCCTACAGGACTGGCGGGATTTGGAAGGGGAGCTGGGCCAGGCAGGGGTGGGTTTCTTCCCAGCAGCCTGCATGCGGATGGCTGGAGCATGCTGCGGGCAGGCGGGCAGGCAGGCAGCGGGCAGGCAGTGGACGCCCCAGGACAGGCAGGCAGCGTTAGGGGGGTGGGAGGGCAGGAGACAGACGGACGGGAGCCGAGACTGGGGCCCAGCGGCCCAAGACTCAGGGTGCTGCAGAGACAGGCCAGAGAGAGGCCCAGACAGGACAGTGTGTTTGCTGAAGGGCTGGGTGCCCCCCTTGGCTGGGCTGGCAATAGGGTAGAGGAGCAGGGGCCACTGTGGCCCCAAGAGGGGACAGGCAACCCCCCACTGAACCCTTGTCTCCTGAGCCCCGGCATCCGGAAGGGGGTCCGTGCCAGGGAAGGCACTGGCTACAAGCGCCCTCCCAGGTCCACCGTCCCATGCCAACGCCCTCTTCTCTCTCCACGCCTCCTGCGGAAGCCCGCATTCCTCCTCCCGCAGTTCTGCGAGCACCTGGGAATGCGGGCCAGTGACCAAGGGGTGTGCTGGAGCTGCTGGCAGCTGGGCACTTTCCTTGCCCTTTTGGTCCAAGGCCCTGATCCCAGCCAGAGTACGGGGACAGGTATATGACCCTGACCTGCGGACCTAGAAGGGGTACAGGTTCTGCTAGGGTCTGGCAGTAGAGAAAGATCTCTGCGGGCCCCAGAGCCAGTCAAACCCAGCACCCTGACTCCCGCGCCCTGCCCCAGCCCGGCTTTGTAACATCCTTACACCTTGGCTCTGCCACAGCCTGAACCATAGTCCTAAACCCCCCACCTCAGCCCCGGTCCCTGCTCTGGCTGAAGAGCCTCGCCTTATACTCCTACACCTGGACTCTCTTAAGACACTTGCAGGTTCTCATCCCGAGAGGTATCCAGACACCTTTCTTGCCCTGCACTCTCAGCTCTCTGAAGCGAGGACCACAGTCCTACCTTCTTCACACTTTTTGGTGTCCCACGCGTTCCCCACCCCCCACAGGTCAGGTCACTGGACCTTTGTGAGCTACCCCAGAGGCTCAGAAAGGACTGTGGGGAGACAGAGGCTACCACCAACCCTGCGAACCAAAGCACAGTGGGATCTGAAGTGGCTGGAGGTGGGGAGGGGGAGTGAAGACACATAAAGTCCCAGCGTGGTCACTGAGCACTGAGGTGGTGGTGGGCCACCCAGCAGGTCAGAAGGACAGGGGAGAGCATGAAGATGAATGGGGGAGAGAGAGGAACAGATGAATGAATGAGAGAGAACGAGGGGGGACATGAGGGCATGCGGCTGTCTGCGGCCACAGGTGTATCAGGCTGTCAGCCAGGGATCATGCACACACACGGGCCGCCGCGACCCCCCGCACATGCGCACAGGTGGATGACACAACACAGGGCCCTCGACACCATCACACACACACACATACACACACACGCGCGCGCACGAGGCTGTATACCTCCAACTGCCCAGCCTAGTCCCACTTGCCCCCCAGGGAGCAACAGGACCAGACCTCCAGCCTGGTCAATCTCACCAGCGCCCAAGCGTGGGTCCGCCCCGCACACACCCCCTCCCAGGCCCGCCAGCACCTGCGCTCAGCCCTTGGCAGGCCACTCCTCTACCTCCATGCACATGCTCCCCCCACCCCCAGAAGACTTGGCTCAAATTCCACCTTCTCCAGAGCCTTGCCCTGACCACCCTTCTGCAGAACCCTCAGCCCTGCTTCCGCTCTGCCCGTGAGGCTCATGGCCTTCTCTGCTCTCCGTGACCAGGGATGCACTCACTGTTCAAGCCCCCACCCCATCCCTAGCGGAGCATCAGCTGCACAAGGAGAGGAATCTGGTCCATTTTACTAATTGCTGTGTCCCCAGAGCCTGGAGCAGGCACAGCACGTAGGGGCCAGACACGTTCCCTGAATTGCTGACGTGGGTCCATAGGCACAGCTGACCCACTGGTCCCACCCTCTCTCCTTCTCACTTACACACACGCGCGTGCACACGATCCCCTCACAAACGACACACTACCAGTCAGTGAGGGAGCCCAGTTCCTCCTCCAGGGAGTCCACACCTGCACCCGTGAGGAGGGGTGGGAGGGGAAGGGAGAGGACACAGAGGAAGAGGCAAGGTGGGCCGGATGTGGCTCCCATGGAGGGAGGAGGAATGAGAGAGTTCAAGGAGGTGTGTGTGTGTGTGCATGCACACACACACGTGTACACACACACAAACACACACACAGCATGGAGGAACAGGGAGATGGGATTCTGCGGCCAGGGCAGCGGTTAGGTCAATGGTGCAGATGTCCAAGCAGCGATGATAAAAAGGCTGGTACCTGCTCGTTGGGACGGGGCAGGAGCAGGGCTTAGAGTGATCACAATAACTGGATGGGGAGAAGGAAGAAAAAAAACAACACCACGATAAATCACAACAGAAACAATCAATTTGTCCAAAAGAAAAGAAATCAACTCATAACGAGGAGGAGGGGGAGGCGCCAGGCACCAAACTGCAGAGACGGGGAGAAACTGACAGATGGGAGGGCTGGAAGGATGGGTGGAGCTGACACAGACACAGATGCCTGGAGTGGGGCTCCTCGAGGGCCTGCCCGCCCTGGGCCTCACCGTGCCTCACCCTGCACCTGGGACAGCCACCCCTATAAGGCACCCCAGGCCCCATACCCAGCCCTGTCTTGTTCACTCTGGGCCGGGGGCAGGGGAGGGAAGGGCAGCACCCCAGATGCAGCAGGGACCCTCCGGTCCTGGCTGGGCTTCCTGCTCCGGGGTGTGTCCAACACTAGCTTCGCTGCTTTGCCGCTTTCTCTGGGCTGCCCAAGAGACCCCCCTGGGGGAACCCACGCTGCCGCAGGGATGGCGGGGAGGGGCGGGGAGGGGGCCCTACACACAGACTGGGGTGGGTGTCAGGCTGTGAAGGTCAGGCTGGGTGAGCAGGGGTAGCCTGAGTACCCGGATATGGGGTGTCTTCCCCTCCTGTCAGGATGATCCCACTGGAGCTACCTAAGCTGCATGGGTCAACCAGAGAAGATATGAAGGAGGGCAGGGAAGACAGAGAAAGTGTGTGGGGTGCTGCTCATCAGGTCTGTGGGGGAGGAGGGCACCTGCTGCCCTCCCCCTGAGAGGATGTGAGGAGAGGGTCCTGTGGGACATAACAAGGACACTGAATGTGGTCATGGTGATCCGGGGTCAGGTGGGGGTGTTGGGGGAACAGCTCGAGTCCAGATGCCAAGAAGGCAGGCACTGAGATGGTGGAAGCAGAGGACAGATGCACGAGAGCTGGGATGCCAGCTATCACCATCCTGGCCCCAGGCGTCCCCAGGCCAAGGTCGGTATGAGTGTGTGGGGAAGAGGGTCACTTGAGCCCAGATGACAGAATCTCCAGGCTGGGGGTTGGGTGTGTATTTTTCAGAGGCTACACACAGCCACTAAGATGGTGGTAGTGAAACTGCTCAGAAGAGTATAAAGGAGCCTGGGGTAAGTGAAGAGTGTGGCAGGGGGTCTGCTGAGCCCAATGACAAAGTCCAACTGTGGAGAACGGATCCCCAATCACAGGGAGGGGTGGGAGGATCATTTGGTCACGGAATAAGGGGGGTTATATGTGGTCAAATGACCTCAGGTGTCCCCAGGCCAGGTATTGAGTGTATGAGTGGGTCATCCCTTGAGCACGGGTGACAAGGACCCAGGAGTGGAGAAGGGATAGGGGCCTCTTGAAAATCACTGAGAGGCAGGAGTGGAACCATCTGGTCAAAAAGGATGTGTGCGTATTGCAGGAAACCTAGATGTAGTCACGATCGCGTGGAGTAGGGGGAGCTCGGCTCACCGTAGGTGACAGAGGCTCCGCAGATCGCGGTGACGGGGGCGGGTCACCAGGTGGGGGGGTCCTCACCTGGAGCCGGGGTAGCTAGCCTCCCGAGACCCATACCGGGGAAGCCCCCAGGCCGGGTAAAGGCCGCCAGGAAGCCGGCCAGCCCCAAGGCCCCGGGGTCACCGTGACCCTCTCACCGCCGGCCGACAGCTGAGGGGTGGGGGCTGTGAGGAGAAGCAAGAGCGCCCCGGAAGCGGGGGCGGGGCCTAGAGCGGGGGCGGGGCCTCCTGCAGAGCGCGCCCCGCCCCGCCCGCCCCCTCCCCCACGCCGCCGTGCTTACTGGGCCTGGGCCGCTGGGGGCTGATATCCAGGTTGAGGTCGATCCTGCGACGGGCCTCGCGGTTCTCCTGCTTCAGCTTTGCTTCCAGGCGGGACAGCTTCTGCTCCAGGGAGGACGCCGCCATCTTCCCCGCCGCCGCCGCCGCCGCCGCCGCGCACCGCCCGGCCGCCCGTCAGCCCGGCAGACAAACACCGCACTGCGCCTGCGCCTGGATGACCCCGCCGAGCCGCCGTCTCGTCCCGCAGGGCGCATGCCCGCGGTGCGTACCCGCCCGTCCCGTTTGCGAACCTCCGCGCGTGCGTGCCTCGTCTCAGCCTGAAGGACGACGCCACCTAGAGCTCGCGGCTGGCAACGTGCAACCCACCCGCCGAGATGCGCATGCGCAAATTTCCAAGTGCTACGGTGAGCCGCGAAGTGAGGCTTGCGCCATTCCCCATTCTGCGGAGAGCGGTGGGCGGGGAAAGCGACGCGCCGGCGCACTGAAGGGGAGTGTCTGGTGTCTGCTGCGCGTGCGCTGGCTGTTCTCCGGCGCTGTCGCGAGTTCCTAGGTTATGTCCTCAGTCTCCTCTTCGCTGTTCTTGGCTGGGCCCCTTCTGGCCCCGACTCCCTCTCAGAACTCCTTTCTCGCTTCGGACATGCTTCATTAGGAACTCTGTTTTGCTTAATTGCTCCCTCCTCGTCATAATTTGGCACCCGTGGGGAGCTCCTTCCATTTCAGCAAGCTCAGGGTTGGCCAAGGGCAGGTTGGAGAGGGAGGGGTAGGTCTCCGGGCACTGGGAATCCTGCAGCGTGACCCCCGACCTCGGCGACTGGGCCAAAGTCAAGGCAAGGGTTTCCCGTCATATTGGCCTGGGACATCTTAAGACTTTTCACCCCCGAGACGTCCCGCCTTCAGAATGTGAGCCCAGCTCCTGGACAATGCAGAAGACTGGCCGTGGAGTTAGGTGCTTCTGCCTGGCGTTCCTGCAGCCTAAATATTCCTTTAACAGGTCTGAAGGGCGCTGTGAAAATGTCCCCATCTGAACTCCTGGGTCCCCGAAGAGTAGCATGACTCTGTTCTTAAGGTGCCAGGAAGAGAATTGCATTTTGCAAACACGTGGCAAGTGGCCAAGCTCAGGAGGTCAGGGTCAGGCAGGCTGTACCAAGCGCCCTACAGACTCCTGGTCCAGCCTGGGGGACTCCTCTGGTGATTACTTACAGGCGAAGCAGATACAAAAGTATGGAGTCAGGAGGATAACAGGGAAGGTATAAGAAAGGGGGTTGTCCAGGAAAAAAGCTAGACAAGAGATGCCACGTAATTTCTCCAGATTATCTGAGGTCTCCAGAACAGAGACTTATACCCTTGATTGTGGTACCTGTGGCCACTTGCCTATAGTCTGGTGACATGGTCTAGACAGTGACGGGTGGACAAAGGACATCAGAAGGATAGTTCTGATAATTAGTATTGTTTATTTTTAAAAAATGTACCTTCCACAGCAGGTGTTCTTAACCTGGGGTCCACAACCCTTAGGATATCCACGAATAGCCCTTGGGGATCTGGAGGAATTTGTTGACTGTCTGAAATTGTTTGCAGAATTGTGCGTGAATGTATACACAAGCATTTTCCTGAGAAAGGAGGTGCTCAGCTTTCATCAGATTCTTGAGGATCTAGAGATCTAAAAAGGGTTCAGAATCCCTGCTGTAGATATCCAGATATCTCCTCTGTAGGTCATCATTTCCTAACATGCAGGCCTAGGACCACATGCATCAGAATTACCTGGATTGCTTATTTACAGGCAAGTTCCTGGCTTCCAGCCAAAGCTCCTGAGTGAGTCTTTCAGGGGTGGGGCCTGGGATGTTTCTGGGAATGTTGATTTTGATGCCTAGCCAAATAAGAGAACCTTGCTTCTGAATTCACGTGTCCATAGCAATCAACTTATATGTAAGGGCTTAACATCAAATAGGGGCAGTGTGTCCTGGTCGCTTGTATCTGTGTCCTCTTCTTGGCAGCGAGCCCCTGAGGTGAGCTGTTTGCGGGGTGGGGAGAGGATTGAAATCCTATTGGGACGTGTCCCCACCCTTTTTGTGGCACTGATTGAGCTGCACTGTCCAGAGGGAAGGCAGCCGTTCTGGCCCAGAGCTGGGGGCAGGCCAACCAGCCAAAGACAGAGGTGTGGTTTCGGTCTAAAAATCCTATGACTGAGTTAATCCCTCCGTGCCGTTCCACCCCGAATCCACAGCCTGCCATCTCACCAGATAAACCAGTCCCAGGATCTTGCCTGGGCCCCGCAGGCTGACATGTCAGCTCCTCCTCCTTGGCAGGGGCCCACCTGCCTTGAAGACAATGGTAGAGATTTTGTGACTGAAGCATCCAGAAAGCCTCTACCCCAACCTGCCCCTCCCTGGCTTCATTCCTCTTCCATCTTCTCCCGAACCTCTGCTGGCAGGCCCTCATAAAGGGTGTCCTCTACCAGAAGCCCCACCTTCTTGAGCCCTCTGCAGTTGCCCAGTTCTTCTGGCAGTGCCTCCAACCTGTTGCCCTTAAGCTCCAGGCGGCTGAGGACCCTGAGGGTCCCCACCTGGGGCGACAGCTGACTCAGGCGGTTGTGGCCCAGGAGCAACGTCCGAAGCTTACCGCAGCAGAAGAGCTCATCAGGCAGGGCCTCCAGGGCATTGTAGGAGAGAGCCAGGTGCTGCAGGTTCTGGAGGAGACCCAGCTCAGGTGGCAGGGAGTGCAGCCCGTTGTGGGTGACATCCAGCAGGCGGAGGCCAGAGCACATGCCCAGCTGAGGGGGTAGGGTCTCCAGTTTGTTGTGGCTGAGGTAGAGCTGCTCAAGGACCCGCAGTTTACGCACATGTTCAGGGACATAGGCAATCTGGTTGTGCCATAGCCTGAGTGTGACCAGCTTGCGACAGTGCTGGAAGCTGAGGATCTCCTCAATGGACCGCAGGTGGTTGTCCTTGAGATCAAGTTCCTGAAGTGCACCCAGGCTAAAGATGGCATGGGGGATGCGTTCCAGCCCACAGGCGACCAGCTCCAGCTCCCGCAGCACCGCCAGCTTCTTGAGGCTGTTAAGGGCCAGAAGGCGGGACCCATCGTTGTGCAGGCTAAGCCGCTGCAGGTGGCTGGCTATGTCGGTCACGCTGGCTGGGACCTTGCCAGCATTGCTCCGAAGAGACAGCACCTTGAGCTGCTTCAGCTCCCGGAGGCTCTCAAGGGTGGCAGCCTGAGCCAGCTCAGGGGGAAAGAGCCCCTCAAGGTGCAGCTCCTCCAGGCCGCGCAGCCCAAACACCCAAAGGGGCACCTCACGGAGCTCCTCGCATTTGATACGGATGACCTTCAGGCGGTCCCGCAGAAAGATCTGCAAGGAGAAGGGCAGCTTGGCAGGAGAGTGGAGCAGGCTGAGCTCCTGCAGGTGCACCAGCTGTGACAGGCTTGGGGGGAAGGTGATATCGGAGATGGCCTCCAGGCGGAGTGCCTCCATCTCTCGGAGCTCAAACACCGTGTCAGGAAGTCCTGGGAGCATGCAGAGCGCCAGCTCCAGCCGGCCCTTGGCGTTGCGCTGCAGTTTCTGCCGAAGTTTCTCAGGTGTCCACTCATGGTTGAGGTTGAGCTGCTTCAGTCGGCTCTCACTGACCTCAGAGAGGAAGACAGCAAAGCGCTTGGAGTAAAGCGGGTCATACTGGTCAATGAGGTGCAGCATGAAGGCAAAGTCGTTCTTGACGTCAGGAATGTCGTTCATGCCAGTCTCCTCCCGCACAGAATGGAAGGAGTACTCCTTGAGGGGCCGGTGGAAGAGCCAATAGAGTGTATAGAGGCAGGTGATCCCATAGACACACACAAAGGAGATGTAGCAGAAAGCCAGCTTGGAGAAGAGGTGGGCCTTGGTGTGGTTGCAGCAGAAGCTGGCGTAGCCTGTGAACCTTGAAGTCTCCACTGTGCAGGCCACCACGAAACTTATTTTCTCCACGTAGACGAGGTTGTAGACCAGGATGGCAAAGAACTTGCAGACTTTGAGCACTGTCTGCCTGATGTACATGGTATATAAGATGTCCCCCTCTTCCACATGTATGCGGAACTTCTTGACCTTCTCAAAGAGGGCTTTGGCCTGCTCGCCCTCCTTCTTGTCCAACAGGGTGACAGCAGGTGGCTCAGTCACCACCTTCTCAGGCTCTGTCAGCACCTTCTCTTTCTCACCCTCCCCTACCTTTCCTGGCCCTGCCTCAGGTGCCACGGTCACTGTTGCCCGTCCAGTGGTATGGCCTTTGCGGTTCTCCCCTGAGACCTCGGACAGGGCCCGCGTGGTCCATGGTGAGTCAAAACACTTGCCCAGGATGGAGGTGAAGTGTTCAATCTTGGAGCTGGTCCCAGGGAACTTGAACCAGAAGCTGGTGCAGACCATGAAGATCAGTGTGTGAATGACCACCAGGTAGGGGAAGTACTTGGGGTACCAGTGGAGGGCCTGCTCGTAGCAGAGCTGGTTAATGAAGCTGTACTGCTGCAGGTCCAGGTTGTTTTTGAGGCCGCTCACTTCGTGGAGACTCCCCATCTGTTCAGGGGCCCCCTGCAGCAGCAGTTGCTGACATGGGGTCTCAGATAGGTTCTCCTGGGGTTCATGACTGGGCAGACAGATGATCTTGTCCTGCGTCACCTGGGGATAGGGAAGAGGATGAAAGAAGGTGCGGGAAATTGGGAACTGGGAGAGAAGTAGGCTGAGATGGGAGGCCCTGATCCTTGACTGTCCCCAACTGGCTGCGACTTGTAGGGTCACTAAGCCTGAGCATCGGTCTTTGTCTGAAAAAAAAAAAGAGGTTGAATTGTGTCCCTCCTCAAAAAATGTTGAAGTCTTTACCCCCAATACCTGTGAATGTGGTGGTGTTTGGAAATAGTCTTTCCAGAGCAGGGAGGGTCCAGGTAAGATGAGATCATTAGGGCTGGCCCTAAGCCAATATGACTGTGCCCTTTTAAAAAGGGGAAGTTTGGACACACACACACAGAAGGAAAATGCTATGAAGATGTTGGAAGAACATCACCTATGAACCAAGCAATGCTTGAGGCCACCGGAATCTAGGACAGGCATGGGACGATTTCTCCCTGACAGCCCTGGGAAGGAACCAACCCTGTCAAAACGTTGATTTCAGACTTCTAGATTCCAGAACCATAAGACAATAAATTTCTGTGTAGGCTACCCAGTTGGTGATGCTTTTTGACAGCCCCAGCAAACTAATACGGTAACCGCAGGTCTTTCTAGGTTCTAGGGAAGTAAGTATTACACTGTAAAAGTATGGGCTGCTGTAGCTACGCGAAGGACTTTGGTGCTGCTGCCAGTGGTGGAGGGGATGGGAAGGCATCAGAACTGGTCCAGAGTGCAGGGGTCTCGGGTTTCCTCCTCCTTGGGGTAAGAGGAAGACTTCCGGAATTCCCCAGGCCCCTCCTCCGTCCCTCCAGACCACGCCCAAAGTCCCGCCCCTCAAGCCCCTCCCCTTACCTGAAGAGTGCAGCCGAAGACCCCAATCATGAGCATAGCCACCGTGAGGTATTCGGCCAGCACGTCCCACCAGGGTTTGAGTAACTTGAAGGCGGGCTGCTGCTCTGAGAAGTGCTTGAACTCGGCCACTGGAATCATCCTGCCTATGGGAGAGGAGCAGGTATAAGTGCAGAGACCTCAGGCCGGGGCACCCGGTGGTAGGGCCGGGAGAGGCCAGACAAACCCCTCTGCTCTGGATCTGCGCTCTGCACTGCCCAAATCTGGCAGAACCCAGGAGCTGTGCGTCCTCTCTCCTGCTCCCCCAGACCTCACCTCCTTCCTGGAGCCAAGCCACTGCCGTTCTCCCGGGACCTCTGCCCCAGTTTGAACCTGCTTGCCCTCCCGGAGCTCAGGAGGGGCTGTCCATCCACAGGGCCGCTGTCCCCCAGCCAGCCCGTGTGTCCTTTCAGAACCGGGGCATCTCCTCCCACCCCTAACTCAGAGCCAGGAAAAACTTCCTCTGCTCTCCAGGCTCCAGACACCAGCTCCCTCCACCACTGGACCAGAGGATGGCCCAGGGCTCAGGACTTCCGGGGCGTGGGCTGCCACCTCCTCGAGGGGAGCTTGGGGCACCACCTCCAAACTCTAACCGGAAAAGCCGGCTGGAGCCTGGCTCTGGTTACAGGCCTCAGGGGCAGGGAGTGGCAAAACTGGAGGCTGGTCAGCCCTGGGGCTGGGGCGAGGGTTGGGGTGGGGGTGGTGGTGACTAGGACACCTGGGTTTCTGGAGGGGCTAGTGCCCAGGATCTGAGGCAGGAAACAGACACCTGGGCTCTGAAAGGCAGAGGCAGGGGGTTGCCAGGGCAGGTGAGGCTGTGGCGGAGGATCAGGAAATGAAAAACTCTGGAGAGAGCCAGCGTGACACCTACGACCAGGACAGGACTTGGCTGCCAGGCCCCTGGGCAGCCAGCCCACTGTCTGTCCCTTGGTTTCATTTTAGACCAAGGTATCATTATTCCCGATACAGATGGCCAGGTGCAAGTCACACGAAGGCCACAAGCTGGGACCCAGCAGCCACCCTCTTCTTCCCTCCCTGAGGCTGGAGGTGGAGGGAGAGGGAGGCAGCAAGGCCACCACTGCCTCTGAGGGGGCTCCTAGGCTGCCCGCCCCTCCCAGTGTCCACGGTCCCCAGTATACAGCCCTCATTTCTCCCAAAGAGTTTCTGGAGCCTGCTGTCCTCATCCTGATAGCCTCACTGAATGCAGGTGGGGCAGGCAAGGGAGCGCGCAGGCCGCCAGCCGGGTCCTCCAGCCCTCTATCCATCTCTAGGGGGAGCCTGACCCAGTCCCACACCCGGCCAAGTGCCCTGACACCTCCATACCTTCACTTTCTGTCCCTTCTACCCTTGAAAGCCTTGAGGTGACTCCTGGGTGAGGACTAGGTAGGAGTGGGTGGGGGTGGAGGATGCAGGCCCCACCCACTTGATCCCATCAGAGACTCCCACCACTGTACCAGATGGGGATGAGCTAGAAAGGAGTGGGCACATGCCTGTTCACTGGCCCCCTGACTCAGGACTGACTCACCCCGCACCAGGCACACGCGAGGAGCTGCACAGAGAACACAAGATCCCTTACACAATGGCTCACCCTTCAGGCTCAGCTTTATGCTGACCAAAACGAAAAGCCACGTAAAAGTGCCCCAGTGCGTTCCAGTTGGCCTTCCCAGGGAATCTGACAGAAACACACCCAGAGCCTCTTAACAGCCCCCAGTGGCCAAAAGCACAAGGCAGCCACCTAAAGGGTCCCTGGGGACACCGGTGCACGCGGGCAGAAGGGCACGCACACAGTGGAGGGGAGGCCAGGACCAGGGAGACACCATACGCCCTTCTCCACTCCCTGCTACCCACTGTTCCCCCTGCCCTGGCTATCTGTCCCCGCAAGGGACACTGCTCAGCTGCTTAATCGAAGAACAGTAACTCTGGGGGCTGTAGCAGAAATGCCACACGCAGAGTCAGGCACTAATTTCCTACCTGAGCCTCTGCCACACTTCAGGATCCATCTCACAACAGTGGAAGCTCCCTTCTGGGGTCCACAACCAAAGGCAGCCAGGCAGAGACCTCCAGTTGCTCAGCAGATGGCCCGGTGGTTCCCATGGAACAAGGCGCATACACAACACCATCAGAGGCAGACACGAGACGTTATCATTATGTGTCTCCATGACTCAAACTTGATTGTCGCAACCTGCCATTAAGCTTCCACAGACACAGTGCTGGCCCCCCTCTGTCTGAATAGGGTGGGTGGGAGGATCCAGAGAACCGGACCTTTGGGATGGGGAAGGACCCTAAGAAAAACAGTGGGGCCACACACGCAACTTAAAGCCACCCGATGCTCTCAATGCCCTGGGAGCATGAGTGTTGGAAACCCTCTTTCTCCAGGCTTAAAGGGAGAGGAATAACTTGCTCAAGTTTTCACAGTCACAAATGGCATTTGAGGCCCAAGCCCCAGGTTCCACCTGTCTGATTGCATCCACTCTGTTCCATTCTGGGAGGAAACCTTTCACAGACACCAACCAACATCTCTGCCCAAAGACCCTCAGGAGCGGGTGCGGGGATGAGATGAAGGACGGCTGCTCTGAACTCCAGATTCCGGAGAGGCAGTCCGTCGGCCGAGCCCCGGGGCCAGGCCCCCTTCCCAGCCTTAGCTCCCACACCTGACTCGGTTCTCCTCTCTCAGACCCTCCCCAAGCTCCCAGATTGTCTCCCAAAACATGGCAGTGGTGGGTTCTCCTGGTCCAGCCCCTGTCCCCACTCAACAGTCCACACTGAGGGGCAGGGGAACACGGCAGCCGTCGTCAGCCCGAACAGGCCTTGGAGGGCACGGGGTCCAACATTTGGCTTTTACACAAGGGAGAAACTGAGGCTCGGTTTTGGGGGGTGCCCTTTAGTAGCATATCTTGGGTGGAGGTCCCGCACCTGGCAACTCCCGACCCAGTGCTTTTCCAAGCTGCCTTGCCAGGACTTGGGGGTCTGGGGAATCTTTAGGTTCAAGAGTCCTGGAGGGGGCAGCCTGGTGAAGACTCCAAGTGGTGGTTCTGGGGCCTTGAGGGGCTCCCAGAGATGAGTTGTTGCTGTTGTCTCGCAGCCAAGGAGAGGGGAGCATGAAGAAGACCTCCGCCACCCCAGCCCAGGGGTGGCACCCAGCCTGCTGATCCTCACTCTGTCGTTGTCCTGTCCTGAGCCCTCGGCCCGACCAGGGCCTAACCTCTTCCTGCCCCCACCTCCTCCCCAGCTCCTTCGCAGCCGGGCGGGTGGCGGTGGGCCCAGGACACAGTGCAGCCGTACTTGGGGCAGTCCCCCCGTGGGCCCGACCCTCACCCTGCAACCTGGTTCCCAGCGGTGGAGAGAGCCACCTACTCACCGCTCCGGGCGGAGCTGGGCCCAGCTCCTGGGTCCCTGCTCCCGCAGAGTCAGTCCCGGGCCAGGCTGGGTGAATCAGGGCGGGCGGGCAGCAACCCGGGGCCGCCCCGTCCCGCCCCGCCCACCTGACGTCTCAGCCCTGCCTCTCTCCCAGGTGTCCCCCGACTCCGGGCGCCCGGGAATCGCCGAGAAGCGGGACCCTAATCCTGCTCTCCCCCGGTGGCCTGGGGGACGGCCCTAGGAGCAGGGTCCCCGAGCTCTGGGCTCGGCTGCCGTCAGGAGGCACCTGGCCTGGGGCACACGTATGAGGTGGATTGGAGGCACTGCGCACCGGCCGGGCGCTCTCCTTGGAGCCAAGCTGTGTAGACGCGGTCAGAAAGCGTGGAAGGGCCTCCTCCTTCACCCACCCCAAGGTGCAGCCACCTGGCTTTGAGGTCTAACCAGGGAACCAGTGACCAAGGTCCAGGGGAGAAGAAGAGGGTTTCTCGTTCCTGCTCCCAGCACTCAGAGGAGCCGGGCAGAGTGGGGTGCTTACCTGTCACACCCGCCCGGACTGGAGGCGGGCTGTCCACCGGGGGTTACATCTGGAGTGAGCTGAAGCCAGGTCTTTGGGTGCTCTGTGGGTGGGTGCAGGGGTCAGAGGGCTCCGGGAGATGGGGCTGGCGTCCAGGCTGAGAGGCCGTCTTCTAGAAAGAATGACTCTGTCTCTCCATGTCCAGCCTTTTCTCCCCCCGCCCCCCGCCCCCAGGGAGGACTGGGCTGGGTCCTAGACTCGCCAATTCCCAATTCAGCCTGGAGGTGCAGGCAGTTGAACCTTGGTCTGTTTTGTCTACAGAACAAGGAAGGGGATCTAGACTAGAATGGGAAGGGGAGACCCCACCCGCACTGGGACAGCCCAGTCAGAGGCCCCAGAGTTCACCAGATTAGACACCTCCTGAGACCCTGAAACCTTGGAGGTTGGGACTCCCTACGCTTTAGGTTCCTCTGCAAAACTCTGCAATGGGCGCCCCTTTCAGGACTCCACCTCCATTAAGCCCTGGGCTCCCTCTGAGGTGCCATCTGAGACAAAGCACTTTCTGCCTTCCACTCAGTGGCCTCTTCCTGCTCCAAGAAGGCCCTTGATATCCAGGTCCTGGGCTTGTTTCTGGCTTTGTTCTGGAATGAGCACCCAGCTTGGCAGACTTATGCAAGAGTCTGAGTTCGCTGGGCTGGAAGCCCCGTTAATAACCCCAGGCAGGAGTCTCTTCTGCTCCCCGTAATGTCCCCAACACTTGGAATGGTGCCAGGCACCCAGTGGTGGGCATTCAGTTCACGATGGATAGGTGGATGATTGAGCTGTTACCTTAATTCAGGCTCTTCTGATTGCAGACAATGAGACAAAGAACTGGATGCAAATAGTTTATCTCAGGGGTGATCCCAGCCATCACCGATGGTGGGGCGGCGGGGACATGACCGTGGCAAGGGAGGGAAGCCAGGAAGCCTTAACGAGGGGGCATCAATGAGGGTGAATGAGCAGGTTGTCACTGTGGGAAACTGGGGCTCCTTCTGGGGAATGCTGGGAGATGGTGGGAGGCACCTCCTAGTTGGGGCGCTGATGTCCAGGCCTGGTTTGCCTTGGCTGAGGGCTGCTCTGGAGAAAGGGGATGGAGGGGCATTCACTCTTGGGTAGTTTTGACTTCCCTGCATGTGGGAACCATGGGTGCTCAGGTGTTACAGAGGGGCCCTAGGGCGTCTGCCATAGGTATCGACACTCAGGAGGAATGGCTGGGTCACGGGACACGCATACTCCCAGTGCTTTCCAGTGGTTCTCCAGAAAGACTGCCCACTCTATGTCCCCGCTGGGAATGCGGGAGGTTTCCCATGTCAATAATACCCAACTTTAAAAAGCATTGTGTTAAAATACATCTAACAGAACTTAGCATCTTAATCATTTTTGAAAAGATTTTATTTATTTTTCGAGAGGGGGAGAAAGAGAAACATCAACATGTGGTTGCCTCTTGTGCACCTCTTACTGGGGACCTGGCCCGCAACCCAGGCATGTGCCATGACTGGGAATTGAACCAATGACCCTTTGGTTTGCAGACCAGCACTCAATCCACTGAGTATCTTAACCATTTTTAAGTGTACTGTTCAGTGGCATTAAGCGCATTCACAGTGTTCTGAAACCACCACCCTCATCCATTTCTAGAACTTTCTCATCTTCCTAAACTGAAACTCTGTCACTGTTAAACATTAACTCCCCTTCCCCCTCCTTCCCAGCCCCTGGAATCCACCTACTACTCTCTGTCTCTATGGATTTGACTCCTTAAAGAACCTCTTATAAGTAGAATCATACAATATTTCTCCTTTTGTGGCTGATCTAGTTCACTGAGCATAATATCTTCAAGTTGCATTCATATTGTAGCCTGTTTCAGAATTTCCTTCTTTTCGAAAGCTGAATAATCTTCCATTGTATGGCTAGACCACATTTTGTTGACCCCTTCCTCCATCGACAGCACTTGGGTTGCTTCCACCTTTGGTCATTGTGGAGAATGCTGCTGTGATATGAGTGTGTAAACATCTCTGGGAGTCTCTGTTTTCACTTCTTTTGGGTGGGTTGCTGGATCATATGGTAGTTCTGTTTTTAACTTTTTGAGGACCCTTCATACTGTTTTCCACAGCAGCTGCACCATTTTACATTCCCACCAACAGCGCTCAAGTTTTCCCATTTCTCCACATTTTCACCAACACTTGTATTTAATACTCGGCTTCTAAGGTTTTGTGAACCTGAGGTGAGTGGTTAGCTATTGCCATGTAACAAATCACCCCCAAGCCTACCAGCCTAAAACAACAGGTATTCATTGCCTCACAGATTCTGAGAGTCGGGAGTCCAAGAGTGGCTACAATGGGTGGTCCAACAGTCTCTCTCCCCCAGCAGCTCCCAACAACCGCTGTTTTGCTTTCTGCCACCAGAGATTAGCTTGCATTTTCCAGAATGTTCTATAAATGGAATCATACAGTGAAGTGTGTGTGTGGCTTCTTTTGTTCAGCAGAGTATTTCTGAGATTTGTCCCTGGTTTGAGTTTCCTGGTACTGTAGTCTGTTGCTTGTTACTGCTGAGGCATATTCCATTATAGGGGTTGCAGGGTGTGTTTGGTTTGCATAATGCATCCCCTTGTTGATGGACCAAATCTGAGGAATGTTCTTATGTGAGGGCAGAGTCCAGGTCTCAGTGAAATGCAGGATGCACTGACTTTCGCCTTGGAGGGACCCTCGTCCTGCAGAAGTCAGCAGGTCAGGCCTCAGAGCGGGCAGCTGTGACTCAGGAGGGCACTGCAGCTGAACAGACGAGCAAGCAAGGCGGGGGGCCCGGCTGCTGCCCTGCCGGGAGGGACTCACACAGGCGACCCTCAGTAGACCTGGGGATGATATGAGGCCCGGAATGATCCAGTCCAGAGGGCAGCATCCTGGGGGCTGTGGGGAGCATCTCTCCCAAGCTGGAGGGAGGGCTCCTTGAAAAGATGGATTTTCAAGGTTGGCTTCCACCACACAACGCAAGGCACTCAGTTCTGACCCTGGCCTCTCTCTCTTCCATCCCCTGAACCTCAACTGCGGATACAACCCCTGACTTGAGAAAACACAAACCCCTGCTTTGGGCACACCTGAAAGTTTGGGGTTGGTCTCAGCCATTTAACACCAACGTGTGCCTGGCCCTGCCCCGTGGTTCTTATCGTGGTTGCAGGGAGCCCCACAGGGCCTGGGAATTACATGACATGCCTGGGGCCACAGTGTGGCTCTGGGTGTGGAGGGGAGAGGGAAAGCGGCCTGCGGTTCTTTCACTGGGGTAGAGGGTGGAGGCCTTGGGTTTCATGAGCTCCTGAAGTCACTCTTTATTGGTGAATTTAAAGCGTGGAAAGAAAAAAGGTCAACCAAGATCTTTAAAACAAAGGAGCCTCAGTGGGGGAGGTAGCCTTGCTCTTCATGTGCTGTGTGGCTGGCAACATGTTGGTTGGAGGTGGGCATCCTTGAGGTGTATTCCTCTGCAATCGAAGTTTAATCAGGCCCCTGCATTACAAAAAAAGAACCCCCCCCCACAAACTTGCATGGCTCACATACACCTAGTTAGGTCCACTCTTCCCTCCCCCGATGGCAGGCTCACCCTGGTACCAAGTGCCACTCTCCCTGGTCCTGTGCTCAGAAGCCCCCTGAGTTCAGGGAAAGGGCGAGCTGCTCCTGTAGTGTGCGTGTGTGTGTGTTGGGGGTGGGGGCACACACACGTGATGGGGAAGAAGGGACGGGGCATAGGGAGCTGCTTCTTTGGGATGGGGATAGAGTGGCTGAGCGTTTGGACAGATGAGACATGGGGCAGAGAGCACAGTATGTACGTGGGGGGAACAGGAAGGTGTGGGAGGGCGCCCGGCCTCAGTTGGCCAGCATAGGACACCTGAGGATGGCCACCTCCCTCTGAATACTCCCATGCCTTCCACACCACAGCCCCCTACCAAGCTCCTCCACTGAGACCCCTGCAGGAGCTGAAGTCACCAGAATGAAACAACCTACACCCCGCTGGCTGGGCTGGGAAACCTCAGGGGGAATCTTCTCGGCTCCTTCAGGCGCCTGTTTTGACACCTCCCAGCCTCTGACAGTGTTGGTTTCCCAAAGCCTCGCTCTGCTCGGAAGCCTTTACTGACCTGACCTTGCTCCTTCATGTGACTTGGGAGGGTGCGTAGGGTGGGTGTACCTTGCCCTGCAGAAGACTGGGTCACCTCTCACCATAGGTTTCTCTCTCCCTCCTGACCTTCCTTCCTTCCTCTCTTCCCCCAAATTCAGGGTTTGCCCCTTAATTCCCAGGCCGCATTCTCCCAGTAGTCCTCTCCACCACCAGGTAGGGGGGTTCCTGGGGTCTGGGAAAGCCTTTGGGTATGAGAGGGGCGGTTGCCTCCGGGGACTCTGGGGGACCTGGCCTCCTTAGTCGCGAAGACCAGGACAGTGACCAAGGAAACCGAACACCCGGACTGGTCGATGAGGCCGAGGCGCGATGGTCCCGCCCCCTGGTTGCCAGGGCTGTGTGTGTGTGTGTGTGTGTGTGTGTGTGTGTGTGTGTGTGTGTGGTGGTGGTGGTGGTGGTGGTGGTGGTGGTGGTGGTGGAGGTGGAGGTGGTGTGGTGGGGAGGCCGGATCGGTGACCTCAAGAGATTCCCTCCTCCTCCTAGTCCCCTTGGGTTGGGTCGCGGGTACTCAGGCGCAGCCGCCCCTCCCTCCAGCGCGCTCCCGCCGCCTCCCTGGTCTGGATCCGGCGCGTGCGCCCCCCGTCTCGCAAGCCCGCGGTCTAGGGGCGGGCCCGGCTCCCTGCGCCACCGCCCGCAGCCCCCTCCCCTCGCCTGCTTGCTGCTCGCGGCCGCTTAGGCGCTGCCACACAGCCCCACCCTAGGCGACCCTGCGTGGAGCAGCAGGAGACCCGAGACGGAGGTGAGCGCGGCGCTAGCAGGTGGAGTGGGCGCGGACTGGGGCTCTGCTGGGCGAGGGGGATGAGCTCCGGACGCAGTTCTTTGTCTCCCCGAGCCCGTGCGCGGGCAGCTGGGGCCGCTCCTCCTCCCGGCAGGTGCCGGCGTCCCTCGAGGCTGGCGAGGGGACCCGGGCGTTCGCTCTCGTCCCCCAACCGCATCTGGAGCCTGTGTCAGTCCTCTGTCCCCGAGGCTGATGGTCTGGGTCCCTACGGGTCGAGGGGTAGGGTCGTGGATCTCCGGTGCTGAAAGAGAGCAGAAACAGGACAAGGGGGAGGGGTGGTTGGGACAGGCAGGGTCTGGAGGAGAGTGATGGGGGTGGGACTTGGGGACAGCCAAGAGCAGCTGGGCTGGTGAGTGTGTGGTTGGGTGGGAGGGAAGTGGATCGAGGCCGAGGTTTGCGCGCCCATGGGCGGCGAGTTGAGGAAGGAGCAGTGAGGTACCAGGACCCAGGTCCCTGCAGGCTGTGTACGGTGCAGGACCTGGGATGCTGACCGGTGTGTCTCCTCATCAGGTACGGGATGGACAAGAGGGACAGGGCCAGGGCAGGGGCAGCTGCGCAGACCGCGGCTTCTCGCCCTCCTGGCCTTCGGAAAACCCCCAAACCTCCAGGGTCTCCTCGACCGCCTCCCCCAGTAACCCCCGCGGCCCTCCGAGTTCTGGGAGCGGCAGGAGCTGTGGGGCGAGGGCCCCTGGCGGAGCGATCCGGGGCCGCCCGGGCAGCCGCTCTCCTGGAAGCCGCTCCTCCCGGGAGACCCGCGCGGACCGCTGGGACAGGTCCCGGAAGCCCAGGTACCCCAGCCCCTTTTCCTGATTCCGACCCCACCTCCCTGTTGCCCTCTCCTTCTGAGGGACCAGACTCGCTCTGCTTTCTGGGGCGCCGCTTTGACTCAGCCTCTTCCAGCAGCCTCCAGACCCCCAGGGGCGGAGAGAGGGGCGCGGACCCCCGCCAAGAGCCCTGGCCCAGGCTCCATCTCTAGCCCGGGACGTGTCAGCGGGACCACCAGGTAACACCTCCCCCTCCCCCGCCAAGGGTTAGCGTCACTCTCTGGAATCATTTCACACATGGCGTGGGAACACTCGCAGATCACTGGGCGCGAATTGGGGGAAAGCCACTCAGGCGTCAGAGAGCCCGTATGCCCCATTTCGCAGATGAGAAAGTGTGAACTTTGGAGGTTAAACAAGGAAGGGGGGCTTTGCCCTGAGCACGCCCCCCTCCCCACCCCCGCCGCCAGGCTAGGCCCGCTTGGGCAGAAAGGGCTCCGGCCCTCAGCTGAGGAACCTATGGGCAGAGGAAAACTCCCAGAAACTTCCAGAAGGAGTGCCCTGAGTGCGGGGGCACGGAGAGGTATGTGACCTGGGGAGAAGTGGGGTTCCTGGGCAATGAGGAGGACCAGCCTGGAAGTATCGATGACCCTTTGGCCTTCCGCTTTGTCCCTAGACTCTTCTGAGCCCACCACAGGCGCCTCTTCCCCAGCCATCTCCAGTCGGTATCGGGGTGTGGGTGCTGAGGTGGGGCCCCCCCGGGCAGCTGCGAATGCACGGCCGCGACCGCCGGCCGAAGTCCCCAGGAAGTCAGTGAGCAGTGCCCCGGAGCAGCGTAGTACCGCGGAGCCGAACCCCGCTGCCAGGAGGCGACCCAGTTCCGGCGGAGGCCTCCAGAGGCCAGCCTCGCGCCCCCTGGGATCCGGCGCCACCCCTTTGTCCTCTCCAGCCCGCTCCCGGGCCTCGCTGGGTGGAACATCCCGGACGCTGGGGCACCCCTCGCAGGCCAAGTCGAAAGGACTGCAGGCTCAGCGTCCCCCGCAGGCCGCACCCCCAAGGAAGGGCGCAGCCATCCTTCAGAGCCTTTCCCCTCCTTTGGCCGGGTCACCTCCACCGTGTCCGACCGCACAACTGGCACCTCCTGTCCACAACCCAGCCACTCTGCGGAGCACTCCTCTCTTTCCACCGACCGCGCCTCCCTCCCAGGCCCGTACCTGTCCGTTGGCCACGCCCTTCCCACTAGCCCCTCCTCCCTCTGCTCCACCCTCTCCACAGCCCCTCCCCACTCCGCCAGCCCCACTCACACATCTGGGTACATCCTTTCCTGAGGCACCCGTCTCTCCCACGGCCACTTTTCTGCCTTCATTCTCTCCTTCAGGTTCACCCCCTCGGCAGAGTACGTCCCCCACCCAGGTCTCTATGGCTTTGCACCCTCTTTCAGCTCTCGCCTCTCCTTTGACTGCACCTCCTTTGTCAACTCCTCTGTCACCCGCCACGCCCCCTCTACAAGCGCCTGTCACTCAGGCAAGGTCTCCGCGGAACTTACCCTCGCCCGTAGCCACGGACGCACCGCAGTTTTCTCCTCTGACCACGCCCCCTCCATTGGCCTGTCCTTTGTCTCCGCCCCCCCCTCAGGCCACGCCCGAGGTACTGGCCACACCTCCCACGCAGGAGCCTCTTCGGGCCACATCCACCTCGCAGGCTCCTCCCCTGGGCACACACCCTCTTCAGGCCACGCTCTCTCTGGTCCTGCCCCCTCTACAGGCCCCACCTTCTCTGGCCTCAACAGCTCTGCAAGCCCCACCCTCTCCTCTGGCCACGCCTCCTGAGCAGAGTGCCTCTTCTTTGGCCACACTTTCTCTACAGGTCACTCCCTCTTCTCAGACCCTGCCCCCTCTACAGGGTTCTCTTTCTCTTGCCTCATCACCTTTGCAGGCCACTCCCTCACCGGCCGGGTCCCCTTTGCAGGCCATGCCTTCTTTCCTGGCTATGGCCCCTGCGCAGCCACAAACTCTGTCCTTGCCTCCTCTGCAACAAGACCCGCCCTCTCCCATGGCCACCCCCCCTCCTCCGGCTCCCCCTTCTCTGGCCTTGCCCCCTCTGCAGGCTCCTCCCTCTCCTCCTGCTTCACCCTCTCTTCAGACGCCACGCCGGCCCCCGACCCCGGGTCCCGATGCCCCGATCCCGGGACCACGGCTGACGCTGGCGCTGGCCTCAGCCCCGCCGCCACCGCCCTCGCGCAGCCCGTCCAGTACGCTGAGCGGCCCGGACCTGGCGGGCCACAGCAGCAGCGCCACAAGCACACCGGAGGAGCTGCGCGGCTACGACAGCGGGCCCGAGGGCGGCGCTGCAGCCTCCCCGCCCGCCGACGCGGAGCTCGCCGCCTGCCACCCGGCTGCCTGGAGCCGAGGTCCCGCTCCGCCAGTGGCCGTCCGCGGCACCCCGGGTAAGCAGCCCTCCAGCCCGGCGGAGCTGTGCCGTTGGCCAGGTACCGGAATGTGGGTGGGCGGGGTCGGAGGCGCGGCTGCGCATCTAGGGGGCGGGGCAGGCGGGCGGGGGCAGGGCTGGGCTCCACTCTCCCTCCACCTAGCTTCCCGCTTCTCGCTGCAGGAGTACCCCTGCCTTGGCCTCCGGCTGCTGGGTCCGGCTCTGCTGACGGCCTGTGCACAATCTACGAGGCTGAAAGGCCCGAGTCGACGACCTCCGCCCCGGGACCGCTGGATCCCGGGCCCGGGCCCGGCGCGGGTGGTGGGAAGGCGGCGGCCGGGGCAGGGGCGGGGACGGCCTCGCGCGGCGTGAAGCCCGCGCGCCTGGGGGAGCTGCCGCTGGGGGCTCTGCAGGCGAGCGTCGTGCAGCACCTGTTGAGCCGGACGCTGCTCCTAGCGGCGACCGAAGGTGCCGCTGGCGACCGCGGCGGTGGCCCGGGGACTGCTGGGGGTGGTGGCGGCGGCACGGCGGGTGCCCGGACTGCGCTCAGCGATGCTGAACTGGGTCGCTGGGCCGAACTGTTGTCTCCCCTGGACGAGTCCCGCGCCAGCATCACCTCGGTCACCAGCTTCTCCCCGGACGACATGGCTTCCCCGCAGGGTGACTGGACCGTGGTGGAGGTGGAGACCTTCCACTGAGCCTGACCACAGCCCCGCTCACCGCACTCCGCCCCTGCCTCTGCGTCCGCCCCGCGGCTACGCCTCTTTGTCTTAGATGCTGGTCCCCTCCTTCTGCAGTCCGAATCTCCGTGCGTTGGTCTCAGCCCCTTAGAGCGATGCCCTAGAATTTTGTCCCAGGTTCGCGACACATTTACACCTTCGGCCAAGGTCCTCCCCTCGAGCTTCGCCCCTTTGGCCTAGGACATGCTCGGGCTTTCCCTCGAGCTCCGCTCCCTCCCTAGGCTTAGGCCCCATCCCGTGTCCAGTGTATTGTCTGCCGCGCGCGCAATAAAGCTGGGACACGGCAGCCTGTGCGCCTTTGCTGTCGCGGGCGTGGGGTGGGGCCGGAGATGCCGAGCCCGGTCTCGCGCGGCATGTCCCCTCCCCACCACGTGCGTGAATGTAGGTTTTTGACTCTCTGACCTCTAGTGGACACTTTAGGCACAGGAGGGACCCAGGCGAGTCCACACCACCGAGTGGGTAAGCTAGTGCGTGGCCAGCCTGGACGAAGGACTCACGCTCCTCTCACGCTGGGCCGGGGGAGCCAGCACTCCTGGGGAGACGCGGGAGACCGTGGGAAGGGCCGCCCCTCCCCACACCCCTCCCGCGGACACCCTCTTACCTTAGGAGGGAGGGGTCGCCTGCGACAGCTGGCCTCTCTCTTCCCTCCCCGGCCATCTTACCCAGGGCGCACTGCCCTCTGCTTGGGAGGAGGCTGCAGCGCAGGGAAGGCCTCAAGCCGGGCAGGAGCCTCCTCAAAACGCGCGGGCACAGGGAGGAGGGCCCTCCTGGGACAGGATGGGGAGGGACCTGTGGGGAGGAGCAGCCTCTTCCAAGGCTGAGTAGGCGACCAGGGTGTCCTCACAGCACCCCATCCTCTCCAGGTGTCCTCGCCATGCCCCTTCATGGCTCCCAACCCACGGGCCTCACCTTTTGTCCCCACTTAGGGTGTTCTCCTCAAACCCCTCCAGCCAGGCACCTTCACCTGTGCCCCACAATCAGGGGTCCTCACCAGAGCCAACCATGCCTGTCCCCCATGACCATAACTCCTTGCCCTTCCTCCCATAGCCCAGCCCCCCCAGCCCTGGACTCCTCAAGCCCCAGCCCAGGCCCTTCTTTGCAAGTGCTCCTTCAGGAAACGCCCCCAGGCCCTTCCTCTCCTACTTCACACCAAGAATGATGGAGGCCTGGCAGGGACCACCATCCTGGGACAGGTAAAAGGACAGAGCCAGACTCTGTGCTGGGCCCTCAGCCGTGTTTCTGCCCCTAGACCCAGTTCTCACAGTCTGCCCTGTAGCCAGGTTCCTGTCAGACACAGCTCGCCCAGTCCTGCCTGTTCCTACCCTGGATGTGGTGGCCTCCCTGCTTAGGGTGTGAGGAGAGACGGGCCTTGTCCCAGCGGGCACTGCTTCCACCCCTGGGAGCAACGTGTCCTAGGCACACCGCGTGCTCCCTCACTCAGGCTCCAGGTCAGTGGCAAACCAGAGCTTCCTTTTCTAGTTGAGCCATGGCAAGGACCCACGAGTCTTTCTTTCCAGAATGCGAGACATGCCCAAAGGCAGGGGCTGGCTCGTAACCTACTGGGCAGCCAGGGCGTCCAGGCCAGCCCCAAGGGGAGCGGCGCAGAGCCTCCAACAGTTCCCCCGGGGGCCCCGTGCCACCGAGGGGTGGGACTTACCCTGTGGGAGCAGCGGAGGCAGAAGCCAGTGGGGTCTTACTGTTAAATCTGTGTGATGGGAATGGTGTGTGGGCCCACAGGAGCTGTTGAATGGTGGGACAATATGTGGACTATGTGCATAACTAGCACCGGGCCCCGCTGCTCAGCAGGCCCCCTCCCTTGAGGGGAGCCCCCATTCACTTCCCCACTCCCTGGCTTGGTTTGGTCTTTGCCCTGGCCTCCTCGCTAACCCCCTACCCGGTGGTCCATCTGATGGTGCTCCCCTCACCTAAGCCCCGCATGGCTGCCCTCTGTCCTCAGTTTCCAACTGCAAACTGGCTCTTGACTGGCAAACCCTTTCCTGGTCTGGCCGTGCCCACTTTCCCCTGTTCCTTCTATCACCTGCCTCCTCTGGGCCCTGCCATGTCTTACCTTTACGCCTTTGCCTTTGGAGCTGGCTCTGGCCCCTCTCCTCCAGGAAACCTCCCCTCTCTCCTGCCCATTCACCTAACTGGGCACTTGTCACATCAGCATGAAGCCTCAGCCCCCATCCCCACACCAGTGTCTGTCACCTCCACTACCCTGGGGACCACTTAGAGACAGGCACGGGGCAGAGCCCCTGGAGGGCCTCAGGGAGTACGTGCCGAATGAACACAACTGGATCCTAAGACTCCAAACTGCGCCCCTTGTCTCGGGGGAGGCCCAAGCTGCGTGGCCCAGGAGAGAAATCACACGCCTTGTCCTCGCAGTCTCCAGAGCTGCCCTTCTGAAAATGTCAGGCTATCCACATCCGTCCGTGAGCCTGACACCCGAGACCCTCTGCGACCCGTTCCCCGCATGCTGACCATCTCTCCCCCACCTCACACTTTTGCTCACACTGAACCAGCAAGTGCTCCTCCCTCCTCATGCTGCGCCCCAGCCAGGGCACCTCTGTGGCCCCGCTGCAGGCCCGCTATGACCTCTACCTCTCTGGGAGGCTCCCAAAGCCGAGGACAGTCTGCTCCCCTCCTACGCTTTGCTGGACCACAGGCTGGGGCCCTGAGGCTGCTTGCAGTCCCCTTCCTCCCAGGCCTGCCCCACTCAGTGTCCCTTGTCCGTCACTGTAAATACACTTTATTTTCTATTCCCACCTGGGCGACATGTGGAGTGTGAACAGGCAGTGTGCAAAATGGCGGTGGGCAGTGTGGGGGGCACGTGGGAGAGCCCTGCGATGCCCACCCTGGTCCCCAGGCTTTGTAACACTGAGAAGTGGGCGACGGGGACGGGGGCACCGAACATGACTTCCCCACTCTGGGAGGGGCCAAGGGGGCCGCTCTGTGAGGCTGCTCCCGGCTCCGGGAGTCCCGAGCGCGTCAGGATGCCCCGGGGGGAGGGGTCTGAGGAGCCTAGTTGGACTTTGGCACCGTTCTTGGCTCTGACTCTGCAGAGACCACGGGACCACCATGAGGAGGGAGGCATGAGGACGCCACTGTTCTGAGCAGCCTCCTCCCCGGGGGCCCGGCCCTGGCTGGGGGTGGGGTGGGGCTGGGGCCCAGGGAAGGAAGGGAAGTGGAGGCTGGGGACCCCCTGGGGAGGGGGCTAACCTGGGTGGGGAGCCCCGCCATCACTGACCGATAGGGGGTGATGGAGGTGTCTCACAGAGGAAGATGTGGGACGCTGGGGACGGGGTCTCATGACTTCACTGCTGCCCTGGCCTGGTTCCCTGGCCATGCACACCCCAGGTGGCCCTGCACACAGTAGGAGCACTTTGGTTTCTGCTCAGGGGCCACGAGGCCTGCATTGGGCGGGAAAGCCCAGCTTGGCCATCTGTCCCTGGCTGCCAAGGGTCCCCAGGGCCATCGTGGGGTGTTGCCATCCAGCCCCGAGTGGCCCTTTCTTCCTCAGTCCTCCTCCTAGGCCCTTCCCAGCAGGGCCCCCTTGTCCCAGAAGGAGGCTGGGTGGGAAGAGGGAGCTTTCTGCTCTCCAGTCCCGGAACCTCTGTGTCCTCTCGTGCCCTTGCGTTCAGAGGGGCAGACCCTCCAGGTAACTGGACCTGGAGGGGTGCAGACCAAGGTGGTTAAACAGTGCTGGGGAGGGTAGTGCGACAGGTACGCTGAGGATCCTCAGGCTCCAGCTCTGCCCCCTGCCCCCTGCCACGCCCCTTGGGGGTGGGCGCCGTTTGTTAAGTGTGGCCCTGGAGGCCCAGGGAGGCGCCCCCCAACCCCCCACCCCAGCTCTGGGCTCAAGGGCAGGGCCTCAGTTTTCCAGGCCTTGACTATAGGGTGTGGCCAGCTCATCGGCATCGCTGTCCGAGCTGCCCTCACTGTCCTTGGCTGGCCGCTCCAGCCGGCGGAAGAAGCGTGCGTCGCGAGGGGACAGCGGGTAGAGTGCGTCCTGCAGGGCTGCGCCCACACCCACGCCCAGCAACTCCTCGTCGGACGATGGCAGAGAGTCCTCATCCAGGTGTCGTGCCAGGCCTAGCCCGTCAAAGGCCAGTGGGTCCTCGAAGGGCGGTGGGCCTTTCAGCAGCCGCACCTAGGGCAGGACCGGCACGTTGGAGGTGCGGACCCACGAGCCGCTGGGCACCCTTCTCTCCTGCACCCCGGGCACTGACTTCTGGCCAGTCACCAGCTGGGGACACACAGGGCTCTTGGGCCCCTCCCACGCTCACCTCAGCCTTCAGCTCCTCGATCTGGTCCTTGAGCTCGCGGATGTACTGGGAAGAGTCCGAGTGGTTCAGCTGGCCCTGGATGCGGCCCTCCTCCCTCTGCGGGAGAGCCAGGGTGCAGGGGTCGGGCAGCATCCTGGCCCCAGCCCGCCCACGCCCTGCCCTGCCTGCCCGCCCCGCACCTGGATCTCCAGCTCAGCGATGCGTTGCCGCATCTCGGCCACCGCCGCCATGCTGTCCGCCTCTCGCAGGCGCACGGCCATCACCTCCTCCTTGCTCTGAGGGCAGTGGGGAGAGGGCAGGTCAAGGGCGAGGCGGGCAAGGGTGGGGGTGGGAAGGCGGGATCCGGGAGAGGGGCACCTTGCACTCAGCCTCCGCCTGCTTGCGGCGGCTTTCGCTCAGCTGCGTCTGCAGCCCCTTGTTCTGCGCGGCCAAGTACTGCAGCTTCTCCTGCAGCGCTGAGCGCTCTGCCTCCACGCGGTTCAGAAGGTTGCGGTGGATGTGGTCCTGGGGGATGGAGGGCGTCACGTACAGGCGGGGGTCACGGCAAGGCCAAGGGCCCGACCGTGGACACCAAGTCCCTCCCTGAGAGGGCGGCTGCGGCCCACCTGTGTCTCAAGCTCTACCACACGCTGCCGGAGCTCACGGCCCTCGGCCAGAGCCTGGGCCTCGCGCAGGCGCACGCTCATCAGCTCGTCCTGCAGCTCGCTCAGGACCAGCTTCCGCGGCGACTCCTTCCAGCGGCCCCCGCGGGACAGATGGGCCTGCCAAGAGAGGCTGGTGGTCAGCCCGGGGGTCTCCGAGGGCCCCTAGGCTCTGAGGGTGGCTGACCTCATGGTTGTAGGGGTTCCCGTCCTCTGGCCAGGTTCTCACCTGCCAGGTGTCTGAGAGCTCCTGCAGCTGCAGCTTCAGCTCCCTTGCGGAGGCGACGGCCTGGCCCTCTCGCACCTTGAGGGCCTTCAGCTCCTCTTGCA